GTTCTTGGGGTTCGCGAATTACTATCGCCGGTTCATACAGAACTACTCCAAGAAGATTCAAGGCATGACGGCCTTGACAAAGAAAGGGGTGAAGTACCACTGGCCGGAGACAGCGGATGCTGCCTTCAAGGAGTTGAAGAAGGCGTTCACCGAGGCGCCCATCCTCGCTCACTACGACGAGGAGCGCCAGGTGGTACTGGAGACGGACGCATCGTCAGGTGCGATGGGAGCGGTGATGTCGCAGGTAGGGGACGACGGGAAACTACATCCCGTGGCGTTCATGTCGAAGAGCCTTACGCCGGCTCAACGAAACTACGACGTACACGATCGCGAGCTGCTCGCCATCGTGTACTGCTGCCAGATATGGCGGCATTACCTGGACGGGAAGTTCCCGGTGAGGATCCTTACGGATCACAAGAACCTGGAGTACTTCAAGAAGGACAAGATGTTGTCCCACCGGCAAGCGAGATGGTCTCAGTTGCTGAACCAAATCTCGTACACGTTGGAGTACAAGCCGGGGACAGAGAACGGGAAGGCTGACGCGCTCAGCAGGAGAGAGGAGTTGATGGAGGAGACGGAGCCCAAGCAGGCAGAGACCCTGTTGCGCCCCGTTAATGCAGACGCGCTGGTGGTCAGCGCAGCGACGGTACAACCCCCGTTGCGGTTGTGCGGAACGATCCCCGTCATAGGGGATTGGTTCTTGAAAGCGTTGATCCCTGCGGGACAGGAAGATCCGGTCGCGAGAGACCTGATCAAGGGCGTCAGGGAGGGAACCTTGACGAATAGTCGGTACAGTCTGAGCCCGGGAGGCGCGCTCATGTACGACGGGCTGGTGTACGTTCCCGATGCGGGAAGCTTGAAGACGGAGCTCTTGAAGAGGCTCCATGATGGGAAGACCGCCGGACACTACGGGCGGGACAAGACGGAGGACCTGGTGAGTAGAGATTTCTACTGGCCGGGTATGAAGGCGTGGATTAGCCAGTACGTGGCTAGTTGCGACAAGTGCCAGAGGAATCGGAGGCCGAGGGCCAAACCAGTCGGTGAGCTGGCTCCCCTGAAAGCGGAGACGGAGCCCTACCAGTCGATCACGTGGGACCATATCACGGACCTACCTGAGTCGAGGGGTTCAAACGCGATCCTGGTGATCGTCGACCGCTTCAGCAAGCGGGCACATTTCGTGCCTTGTCGGAAGGACAACGACGCCAAGGTGTTGGCACAGATGTTCCTGCAGGAGTGGGTACGACTGCACGGGTTTCCCCGGCAGATCATCTCGGACAGGGGAACGCTGTTCACGTCAAGATTTTGGAGGGAGTTCTGTGAGTTGTCCGGTGTCGAGCCTAGTTATTCGACCGCCTTCCATCCCCAGACGGATGGTCAGACGGAGCGCAGTAATTCGACGCTCGAACAGTACCTGCGGACGTACGTCAATTACCAGCAGGACGACTGGACCGATTTGTTGCCCATGGCGGAGTTCGCCTACAACAATTCGAAGCACTCGGCGATCGGCATGTCGCCGTTCATGGCATCGGAAGGGCGGGAGCACGCCGTTGAACTCCCCATGCCTATCGCCAAAGATTCGGCTGTGGAGTCGATACAGGAGTACAGAGAGCGGATGAACAACATCTGGGAGTCTGTTAATGTCGCGCTGAGACAGGCCAGGGAGGATATGGCGAAGTACGCGAATCGGAAGCGTACGGCGGTACCGGATGAGGGGTACAATGTTGGCGACATGGTGATGTTGTCGTCGGCTCACGTCAATACCGTGAGGCCGAACAAGAAGTTGGAGTGGAAGACCTACGGCCCGTTCAAGATCACGGAGGTCGTAGGAGAAGGTCGCATGGCGCGACGTTTGGAATTGACACCGGGGATGCGTAGAATCCACCCGGTGTTTCATGTCTCGCTGCTCATCCCGTACAAGCCGAACGAGCTCCCTGGGAGAGCAGTGGACCCACCCCCTGAGCCAGAGGTGCTGGACACCGGGGATTTGGGGTGGGTGGTATCGGAAATCGTACACTCTAAGGAGTTGCGTTCAACGCGCGCCGGGCGTAGGACCCAGTACTACGTGCGCTTCGAGGGGTACGGGGACGAGCACAACGAGTGGGTTAGCCCCTCGGATTTCCACCACAACGACACGCTGGTGCTGGAATTCCATAAGCGACACCCTGAGTTGCCGGTACCGGGCCGCCAAGAGTACGGCGATGCTTGATGCGTTCGGAGCTCGCATCTAGGAGGGGGATCCTATTATAGGCGTCACGTGACGCGCGACCTACGGTGCGCGTCGCCTCGGGGTCTCGTTCGGAGACCCCCTCGGAGACCCTCTCGGAGACCTTTTAGGAGATGTTCTCGTAGACGTCTAACTAGTACCTTGTAGTAGTTAGACATCCGTTATTACATTACTATGCCTACCGTTACCTTTCCCCAGTCCCGCGACCTTATTACCTCAAGACCCGGCAGGTCGGCTGCCAGGCCTTATATGAGGGTGTTTGGATGTGTCGCTTACATGCACATACCAAAAGAAGACCGGGTTGGTCAGATCTGGAAACCGAAGGCAAAGCGGTGCATCTTCCTTGGATATGGAGAGGAAGAGTTGAAGGCCAAGAAAGCTTGGACACTCTTCGATCCCTATGCTCTCAAGAAACATGTGACGGTACATGTCAAATTCTGTGAAGACCAGAGATGGGCCGATCAAAAGACCAACATCACAAAAGGAGACATCTTCTTCCAGGACATCTCACCTGCAATCGGGGAAGCCGAACTGACTATCGGGGAAGCTGGACCGAGGATCGATGAAGCTGAACCAAGGATCAATGAAGCTGAACCAGAGATCCTGGATCCTCGACCGGAGATTGGAGAAGCTCAACCAGAGATTGGGGAAGCTGAGCGAGAGATGGGGGAAGTTGAGCGAGAGATCGGGGAAGCCGAACCTCAAATAGGGGAAGCCCCAGTTCAGCCAGCAGGACCGATACCACTGCCGCCAAGTAGGATTTCAGTACCGGTGGACCAACAAAGCACTCGGAAGAAAGGAACTGGTATCTGGAAGAACTATGAGTATGTTCCAGTACCAGCTCAAGGATCGGGGATTCCACAGGTCTTACCGGATGGTGCAAGACGATCCCGACAAGCTCCAAAGAGATTCCAGGATCATGCGGCCATTGCACACGGACCCAAGCTTGAAGACATAATGGATCAAGCTTTCTTGACATCGGCTGAGATGGATCCTGCCGATCCCATCTATCTGGATGCGAAGCTGGATGAGATGGCATCGATGGCCAAGAACCAGGTCTGGACCCTGGTCCCAAGGCAGACCGGACAACCAAAGCCGATCTCAGTCCGATGGGTCTGTACCATGAAAGACCTACCCGATGGTACTCAAAAGCCAAAGGCCAGACTGGTTGCTCGGGGCTACACCCAGAAAGCTGGGATCGACTATCAAGAGATCTTTGCCCCAGTTGTCAAACTGGAATCCATTCGGTACATCATCGCTCGAGCATGCCAGAGACAAATGGTTCTGTCACAAGGTGACGTCAAGACCGCCTTCCTCTCCAGCAGCATGGAAGGAGAGATGGTCTACATTGAACAGCCTGAGGGATTCAAGGAACCCGGGAAGGAGGACCATATCTGCCTATTGAACAGAGCAATTTATGGTCTCCATCAATCCCCTCGTCTATTTTACCGACACATCAGAAAGATCCTGGGTGGATTTGGGTTCTCATCGATCTCAGCAGATCAGTCGGTGTTTGTCAAGGACACTCTGGAGGGAAAGGTGCTACTTGGTCTATATGTGGATGATGCACTGGTAGCCGGAGACACCAACAGCTTGGTCCAGGAAACCAAAGCCTTGCTCAACACCAGGTTTGAGATGAAGTGGACGGATGATCCCAAGGTGTTACTGGGGATCGAGATCGAACAGGACCGGGAGAAGGGAACCATCACCCTATCTCAAAAGAAGTTTGCTCGGGAGATCCTGGAACAGTTCAATATGATTGACTGTCACCCCGTCAAGACTCCAGTGGAAGAGGTCATCAGCGCATTCCCACCTGAAGATCGACCACCACCTGATACCAGGTTTCCTTTCCGGGAGTTCATCGGAAAGGCGAATTATCTAGCTCGGGGGACACGACCGGATCTCTCCTTTGCAATCTCACACCTTGCATCATTCTGTTCGACCTACCAGGAGACACACTGGAAAGCGTGTGAGCGGGTAATGAAGTACCTTCAGGGCACCATCGATGCCAGTCTTGTCTATCACCGAGACGGCAATCAGAAAATTGCTGGGTACTCGGATGCCGAGTATGCCGGAGACAAGGGAGATCGGAAATCTGTTGGGGCATATGTGTTCACATTGGCCAATGGACCGGTATCATGGCAGAGCAAGAAACAGACCACAGTAGCCTGGTCTAGCACGGAGGCCGAGTACATCGCTCTCGGCTCAGCAGGGAAAGAAGCGGTCTGGCTCTCGATCATGGATCAGGAACTAGGATTTCATGATGGTAAACCGGTCACCATCTTTGAGGACAACCAGCCAGCTATCGCATTGGCTAAGAATCCCACCAACCATGCTCGGACAAAACATATCGATGTTTTGCACCACGCTCTTAGGGGACTGATCGAGGACAAGAAGATCGAGGTCGAATACCTCAACACTAAACAGATGATTGCGGATCTCCTCACCAAGCCAATCACTGGAAAGCAGCTCCAAGTACTTTGCGCTGATATGAATCTGAAGATCAACAGGGCACCTACGCCAATGTCGTCCACCTCTGAATAGAGAAGTCCGAGGGGAAGTGTAGAAAGTAGGTGCGCGCGTGTGTGTAATCAAGGATTACCGGGATTATTTCTCCAGGATTACTGGGATTATTTCCCCAGGATTACTGGGGACTGGGGTGATGCTTAGTCAGCATCACCTAAGCTGGGACCTCACCCCGGTGATGAAAATCTCAGACAACTAAATCATCAATATACACCACTTGACTGTTAGATCTCAAGCAATATCTTGAGTTCTAACAGGTCAGTACCTTTGTATTGACTGATAGCACATGCCATTGATAAAGCAATATCTTGAGTTCTAACAACTCGCATTCTGTCGCACGGTGCGGGAATGGCGGGTGGTAGTCGAATTTGAGGATGTCTGTGATATCACGGTAGACTTCTACCACTTTCTCGGTGTCGATTTGGTCGTCAAAGTGTAAAGAAGGACCTTCGATCGACTCCTTTCCCAACCTCGTTACTTTGACTTCTCGAAATTGGTCTGGGGAATACATCAACGGAGAACGGGCCTTGAGTACGAACGTGACGGATCGAAGCAGCGGCTTTCCTCGCATAAGCGATGCGCAAAATTCCCGCATTGGTCCGTCCACCGTACCTCCGGGAACCTTGGGCTTGAGCAGCTTATCGTTGGGGTATTTGACCTCATAAACCAATCCCATGTTTTGCCGGATATATTCCAGATCGATGAATCCGGGCATGATGGTTGAGGGAAGCCAGGTCATGCAGATCTCGAGGTCTGTCACGATGACCTCCGACGTGAACAGCCATCCGAGGTATCCCCACTGATCCGAAGGGCATAGTATTACTGTAAGCTACAGCAGATCTCCGGGACCCCTTTCGTAAGAATGCAACTCACCCAGTGAGACTCGCGCGAGCCTCCAGGCTTGATGGAACAGAACGGTACTTCGAGCTTGAGCCTGCTCAACCCTAGGTGAAGGGGTAAAACATCCTTGTACGAGTATACCTTGTCGTCCGCAAAGCGTCGGCTATGCGAGCATGGGCAAGTTGACAGTCCCGGAAGGGAGATATGGAGAATCTCGACCTTTTTTAGGCTTTTACAGACCCCCTGAATCTTCATCACGAACTCGGAGGCCTCCTTGTTCGACCAGGTTTCTCTCAAAGTCTTTTTATCGGGCTCGATGTTCAACTTTTCGAGACTAGAGATGTTGAGGGGTAGAGCCGTATAGACTCCCGGTTGCAGGACGATGCGTAGAGTTCGGACCGAAGGGGGCAGGACATGAGTAAACCGAACGAGTTCCCCGGTAAGGTCGTCTACCGCCTCAGCGCTAGTCAACGACTCCAAAAGATCGTTCCGAGCCTTGGCCCAGGCTTCATTGTCGATGCCTTCCTCTTCGGGCTGAAGGAAGGCTATGCTGCTACATATATAGACGATCACCAAGGTGAATATCTGTGATAAGTTGATATAGCAGGGGAAACTACTTACCGGAAGTAACGTTTGAAATTGGGACTGAACCGTCGGTCACGATTGCCTATATGATCGGGACCCCTGAGACTCAAGGTGTTGACGACCTGCCGACCCAGGACATTGTTGCGGAATGTCCAATCAACAAGGGACATATTCTTCAGATCCGTGCTAAAGATTCGCAAATCGTTGAGGTCGTTGCCTTTCCTGTGAACGTCCAGCTTGAGCCTGACTGCCCACGCTATGGATTCGTTCCCCATGTGATCGGTGATACCGTTCAAGATAGGCGTCGGCACATGATCGAGTGGCCAGGTACTAGGCGGGAGTTCGGGTCCGTAGAGCTCTCCAACCGATATGGGTAGAGTATCCTTTGATTGAGTATCGCCGTCCGGCTGCACAGAAAGGCCACTATCGGAAGGGCACGATTCGCTGCTGCACAAATCGTGTTCTAGCGGCATCCTGTATCGTATTTGTCTCGGTCTTCGAGCGAGAATAACAGCTGAGCAGTGAGCAGCTTGCAACGAGCGTACTCTTGCTATCAATTATCAATTAACTTACAGTGAATAGCGTTTCTTAAACCTTTTGTCTCTGGTTACTGCAGCCCACCAAAAGTCGGTCGGTTGGGGAGCAATTTGCAACTTGACGCGAACACGCGATGCGGAAGGTCTGGTCATGCTAATCATCTGTTTTGTGTTCTCACGCGTGTTGCGAGCGATACGTCATGTTGCATGTTGTGCGATGTGATTCATGATCATGGCCATCAAGAGCTCATCAGTAGCTCAGTAGATCAGTAATTCAGTAGTGATGATCAGTGATCAGCCGGTATGATCGATGCGATCAGTCCGAAAAGCTCATCACAACAAATCCCGCGCGTGATCCGGCGTGATCAATCTGAAACGGGAAGCTGAGTCGCGCCAGGCCAAGCTCAAGCGGGAATTCGCCGATGGATAGCATGGGCAGCCATTTACTCGATTATCATCGATAGCATATTCATCGTAAGGATTCATCGACGCCTGACTATGCAGAGTCCTATCTTCGCTTTTTCCTGGTACGTTTATGGTGGGTATGTCGTAAGTGTCGGGGCATTGATTTGGGGTTGATGAGGGGACAGTAAGACGCGTGTGAGAAGAGGGATCGTAGTGCGGGGATGGTCGTAAGTCGAGAGGGTCTTCAATGAGAACGCAATCGAATCGAGGTGAAGAACTCTCCTCGACTTCTATGTTGAGAAATGGGTTCCGCGACGGCTTATCAATCCAAAGCAGACAAGTCTGTTGGATCTGCGGAAGTGGTAACAGTCGGGAATCGAAAAGTCAGTATTGTCATATGGTAGGCTGAGCTGTGAGACTGACCAGTGCGATCCGTCGCTTCTCGCTGGTTCTGCCTACGGACAGCATCAGCCAGTGATTCGGGGGCTATGGCAGAACCGGTCGTGAGACACAGCACAATTTAGATTTTCCGTTTCAGCAGCCAGCGCAAATCACACTGGGACATACCGAAATCCAATGAGACCTCAGACCTCCCTCCGCCTCGAGTAGCGGCCCTAGCGCTGCGTTCCGCCACCGAGCCCTCGACCCGGGCTCTCATCTCTTCCACCTCGGCGATGAGTGCGGGGTCAAAGAAGGGGAACATCTCCGTGACCTCCTGCCTAGTCCTGGTCTCATGAGGTGGAGGCGGGACGAAGCCGTCCGAAAAGATCCTGAAGACTTCTTCACAGGCGTCTTGAACGACGAGGCCATGAACTTGGTCGCTGAAATGGAGCGCGGACTTGCCCTTGTGCTTGTTCTTGGTCCTGAAAGCTCCCACGCTTCTAAACTGTACTGGTCCGTCTTCGTCCGACTGAGTCTTTTTCGACATCAAGAGCTCGAACGTCTGTAGCTCAGGCTTCTTATCGAAGAGAGATTGGATAAAGTCCTTGAGAGGCTTATCGAGCGTGTCGGTCATGCCGTTGTAAGGGATAGGTTCCGGGTTTAAGGGATCTCTGACGCGGTAGGCGAGTCCCATGTTCTCGCGGATGGAGGTGCAGGTAGGGTTGCTGCTGGTGATCGTGAACGGGACCCAGGTCATGGCGATGGTAAGACGCTGGAACTTGACCGGAGTGTTCAAGATCCATCCGAGGTAGCCCCACTGAATATGTAATGGTCGCAATGGTCAAGAGGATCAGCTTGCTAGTCTCGTTCAACTCCAGCAGCGTCACAAGCATCGGTCGACTCACCCAATGAGATTCCCTAGGTCCTTTCGGTTTGATACAGGCAAACGGAACGACCACCTCCAACTTTTCCAAAGGCGATAAATGCTCCGGTAAAGGATCCTTGATAACCTTGTCCTCCGAAAATCTCGGCCCATGGGAGCATACGCAGGTCGGTAAACCTGGGATCCTCAGAGAAAGATTGTCCACCTCCTTGATGTCTTTACAGATCGCTCGGACCTTTTTGTGAAAGACCTGAGATTCCTTGTTATGGGGATGTTCCTTACATCCTTTGGTAGACGTATCGATACGAAGCTCGTTTAGTCGAGTGACTTGAAGCGGAGCGGGTTCGTGATCGCCCAGTTGGACGGTGATGTCGACTTTTCGAAGGAGAGGAGGCAAGACGTGCGCGTGACGGACGATCTCTCCGGTGTGGTCGTAGAGTTCCTCGAGGTTCGTCAAGGATTTGAGGATCTTTCGGCGAGCTGTGATCCAGGGTTTCCGCGGAATCGATTCGTTGGGTTTTAGCGAGGGAGGGATGAGGATCAAGCGTCTAGCATTTGATACAAAATACAACAAGTTATATTTAGACGAGGCTTCTCAAGTGGTTTAGCCCTCAACTCACCGGAAATGACACCTCGACTGCTGAGTTAAAGACTCGTCTGCCTTTCTCATGTTCTCCACATCGTGTAGGGATATCGTATGCAAAATCTGCTTCCCCATCACGTTATGTCGAAAGGTCCAGTTGACCATGGACATGTTTCTCAAATCGCCTGTCAGGGGACGATGATTGTTGAGCGAGTCTCCCGGTTTGTAGAGGTACAAATGAGGAGCGATCTTGATGGCTTCCCAGCCGAAATAGTCGATGATGCTGTCGAGGATCGCTGGAGGAACGTGGTCGAGTCGCCAACTGCTCGGAGGGAGGGTAGGTCCTACGACCGCTACTTTGGCAGGTCCTTTCGATTTCTTGGATACCATCCTTTGCTGGTGACCGGAAAGCGATACTAGTTCGAGAAGACGGTCTGTAACTAATGGTCCGTATATGAAAATCGTAGCCTTTTAGTAGCAGCGGCTACCCTATATCTATGTAATCTATGATGCGGTTTCGATGGTATATGGCTATATGGCCGTTGTCCGACTCGATCCGGGATGTAGAGACGCGAGACGGAACGTTCCAGTCATTTCGCTGGTATCGCTGGTATATCGAAGGAAGCTCATCAAATTTTACGAGAAGCGAGAAGCAGGTACGATGAGCAGCCAGAAGCTAGAGGCTACAGGTAGAAGCTAGATGATATTGATGCGATCAGTTCACCGGACCCATCACAACAACAAAACTGATGTGCGTGTGATCAGCCTGAAACGCGCTTATTCTTTCTGCGGGCGGAAGCATCCCGGCAAAGACTCCTTTGGAAGCATTGTGGCAACGATCCTTCCACCAATCGCGAACCATCGTCGATCCTTCCGATCTTTTAGATTTTGCCTTCTGGCCGCATCAAGATCCGAGACAACAAGCGTTTGTGTGAATTACGCTGCTCTCTGCGATCTCTGGCGATGACCCACATCCCAGGCCCGGTTCTCGACGCCATTGTCGACCCGTCTTGTAGCAAGTAAACCTGAAGCTCACACGCGACGTGCTGAGCAGGAACTAGAATACGCTCTCAGTGGTAAATCTTGGTGTCAAAAGAGCAACTGTCTCTCCAGTATGAATTGGTTCGCCTACACATGCTCAATGCTCTGAAAATCGCCTTGGTCACGGATTGACTATCGCACGTCTTGCAAAGGATTCGTGACGCGATGCCCTGCTATAAGCATGTTGCCGATCATTATGAGTGACCCAGTCCGGATTCAAGCGGCTAAAATCAAAGCTTGTGGGTCTCAAAAAGGCCGGACCGAGGTCGCGGTCGAGCGCGCTGCCTTCAAGAGATATCTCATATCCTTCCATACTCTCAATTTCGGCTTCAATCGCAATCCGATAATTCAGATCTTCCCCTCGATACACAACCACAGTGAACTTCAAGCGCCGACAAGAAACGTCGCGATCGAATGTGCCAGCACGTTGTGAACTACCAGGACGTAACTCGTCAGCTTTGGATTCACTCTACCTTTTTTAGCTCTGAACAACCACTCTCACCTGGCCACGTAGGATGCAAACTATTGAGCCAAAAGTAGCTCGACACCGGTGGATTGTTGCCGATCTGCGAGTTGGGGGACGGAGTCCCGTTCGCATAGTCGTCGTTGTACCCGGTCACGTTGATGAAGCCAAAGACGTCGGCGTTATCGAGGAGATTCTGTGAGAGAACAACAAGGAAGTCCTGTCACGGTGCCGATCGGATCGATAGATTCACGCGACTCACGTTGAACACCGGGGCCGTATCGAAGAGTCTAGCATAACCTCCGAGACTGAGTAAGGAGGGCATCACAGTCTCCTTCAACCCATCATTGAACAATTTGGCAGCATCGGCGACCTGCTTCGAGACCTCGCTTCCCTGACCCTCAAATAACGGTGCTCTCGAAATTGGAGGCACAGTCAGGACGAGAAAGTTCGGTCGAGAGGTGTTGAAACAGGGTGCCAAGTCGGTGAAGAGATCGACGATTTCCCTATACATGGCCCATTAAGTCACTGTCGTACCCGCAAGCAAGTCTCTGACGCTCACTCATGCTCAGTCTTGTAGAAATCGGCAAGCGAAACATTGGTCCAGGCGTACGAGTTGCCAACACTGGCAAGCATAGGAACGGAACGACGTCAGTCCTTGCCCTCGTTCCAATTCACAATCGATCTCACTCGTTGATCCCGATCCAGATCGCAAACAACGTGTTGTCGGGCGTCCAAGGGGCCTCGGCAGGAGGTTGCGCAAAGTACTGTTTGAATAGGTCAACCTGGTCTATATCGCTCGGAAACACGTCAATCCTGCGTTCCTATGCAAATCGGAAAGCACTGCCACATTGATCTCACCCTTGAGCGAGAGCACAGTCGGAAGATATGGGGTGACAAATTTGGCGTCTACCGTCGCACCGCCGTAGGCTAGGTTGTAACCTTTGAGATTCGGATTGACCGAATACGTTGTTCGAAGATTTTGAATCCAGTTGGGACCATTGGCCGAAGTCTGCGGCGCGACAAAGTCACGTGTCAGCGATGGAGAATTTTCACCCTTACAGAGTCCTTTTCATTATACTCCATCCAAACTCACGAAACCGGGATCGACTGAATTGATCCCTAGAGTCACGTTGTACCCGGTCGTCGTGTACGAGTCTCCGAAGGAAAAGCTGGTGATGTACAGTACAAGCAAATGAGCTACCTAGTTATCTCATATGTTGACGGCCCCGCTTACAGATAGTCAATATTCGGCCAATCGAGAGGTGCTTGGGAGCGGTCGTCTGCGTTGCCGTGGTGATGGCTCTTTTGAGAAGTAGAAAAGTTGGTTTTAGAGCTGGTGGTAGGCATTGCAAGAGATCCGTTAATGGCGAGCAGCAACGGCCATAGCAATGATATCGAGTGTAGAGTGCGGGTCATGCTTGCATTCGGTATTGATGACCCGGATCGTCCACTTGAGAATCTCTCGCCGCGGATACCGAACGTCTCGGAAGAGATGTGCGTATATATAACCTCATTTTCGAGGACCCAGAGGTCGAAATTGCGTTCGGTGTATCATCGGCGACTCCTCGCGAAATGTCATCGACGGACTTGAAACGACTAGCGCAACTAGCTCGCAAGTTTTGGTGGCTTTGGTCGAGAATAGATGCCGAACGGGGGAAATCCAGATCGTTTGATGAATCGATGTAGGGTGTAGGGGTTGATGGTAGAGTGTACTCTCGTCAGTGAGATCACCTTGCCACTGGTATCGATCCAGGAATCTCCCCCCGGATGGTCTTAGGTGGAAAGGAAGGAGGGATGACGTCATGACCTCGGCGTGAGAATTGTTGTTTGCGTTTCAAGATTTCCCCTTTGTTCCCGACGCGTGTCGCCTATCATCGTTGTCGATCGCGACCTGACTTGTGACCTAAAGGGTAATCGCGGTAATCGAGGCTTCTTCATACAACTTCATTGATTCATTACCACGTTACCACTCACGGACCGCAAGACCATATCTTGGTCCGTCTGGTAAACACGTTAGCATCGTCAGGTCTTCACGTCGCTATGTTGGACACGCTGGCGGAGCCGTGTCTCGGCCCCAGCTTACCTCCCAGCCGTTGGCGACTCGACCACGTTCCCGACCTCATTCTGGATAACATCATGGACCACCTAGCCGCCGAAGCTACCAGAACGCATTCATGCGATAAACCCGCGTGCGGATACCACTCTCAAACCTCGATACCCCTTCTCATCCCCTTCACGCGCGACTTGAGGATGATGTCCTTGGTGAACCATGGGTTTCGCGAGAACGTTCTGCGAAGGAAAATTATGGATGTTGTGGTCCTTCACACGACTGAACAGGTTCTATTGGCTCTGTCTAAGATCCGAGAAGAAAGTTTTGGGTATATACGGTGAGTTGTGCCACATTTCACTGAGGAGATTTATGTGGTTCTGACTGTCTCGTTACAGGTACATATACATGAGGGGTCCAATAGCGGAACCCGATAACAAGGAGTGGTGTACAGCACGGGAGGAGTTCCTCGAGCGATGTTCCGCGCTCCAAGGCATCACCGACCAGACCCAAGGTCTTGCCTATCTCAAGTACTCCTTCCACGAACCGATGTCCCGCTTGGGATTGATCCTGGCTCCCGGCAAGGATCTACCTCGACCTATCGCGGCACCGGGACTTAAGGGTCTCATTATATCAGCCTCGCACCTCACCAAGTACGAGAAACAACACAGCAAAGAGGCGAGCTACTTCACGTCCAAAGTCAAACGTCTCTGTCAAACCGTTAAGAATCTTGACAGGCTCGACCTTCACCCTCCGGGCTTGAGTGCTCCGATCACCTCGGAGCGGGACCGACTACCTTCGCAGCTCCAGATGCGAGATCCGTTTCCGGAGACGCTGGAATACATCAGAGCTTTTTCTATGACGACCAGTAACCAATTCTGTACGGTGGACAAAGGTGATCCTAGGGAAGCTCATTGGGTGAGTTCTGAATCAGAACAATCTGGACACGAGTTGACTTTCTCTCGTCCTTGTATGCTCTGCACTCATCTAGTGGGGCTATTACTCCTGGCTCATCACGACCGCGCCGAAAATCAACGAGATTACTCTTACTATGGTGTGGAGCCGGGACTTTCTCTTGAATCGGTACGCTGGGCCATATGAGATTTTAAACTCGATGGGTTTGAAGACTCTCGACTGGGACGAGGAGGATGACGTATATCAAACTCGCCCGCGAGTCGAGGGAGAGACAATCAGCGCAGACTTGAAGGCATTCTTGTCACTCTTGCTGCAAGCTCGTCCGGATCTGAAGATGATAACTCTCGGCTGCGATGTTGTCATCCCTTCGAGAGGTCTCCCTCCGCTATCTTTCCGGTGCACCACGGCGATCAAATCGGATGGTCCTTTATCATGGCAAAACTTGATAACATTTGACGATTATATCGACTACGATGTCGTCGACCAGAATGTTCAAGAGATCAATGAGCTTGTCAACCTGGATCTCTACTCGAATTCCAGCCTGGGGGGAATGATGGGGGCATTGAACCGTTTGAATATGGGAGAATACTTTTAAGTCAGAGCTAGGTCAGGAACCTTCAGAACCGCCTTCCTCATTTACGCCATAGTCGAAGCTGATACCGAACTCCATCAAAACCATACTCCGATATCCCAGGACTTCTGGGAACGAATGCGCAATGCTGTGTACCGGCTGTACAGATCGACTTCTGAGTCACGCCACCAATAACGCTTACATTACGAGATATGACAAAATCCTCCACCTTCGCGCAGTATACTTTGGCACTCACGTCAAGCCTCACAAACGATCTCTGATCATCTTTATACTTGGCGTGCAAGCTAATATACGTAATACACTAGGTCGCCCTCGGACCAGATGACATTTGTAATGATATATACTTTCCTCCGCAGACGGATTTCTCAACGACTAAACTTCCATCATTCTCGTACAATACGTGGAAACTCACCTTGCCACTGATAAAGACTCAGGTGCAGGAATGATGAACGAAGGGTTTAACGGTATGATCCTTGACGTCATGACCCTCGGCGCGTGAGAAACAGAGAGTTCCTTCGCGTTTCAAGATTTCGCTTTTGTTCGCAACAAACGCGTGTCGTCATCCGTTCGTCGATCATCGATCTTCGAGAAGCAAGAAGCCAGCGTGTCGATGTGACCTCTTCTGATTTCTGTATGCTTTCGCCCCGATCGCTCCATATATATCCCATACACATACTTCACTCGTCACTTTGCTTCTGTAACACGCTTTACGCTTAAAAGATCGGTAAAGCCGGCCTCTTGATTTCGACAATTTCATACGATGGCCGACATCGCAGAGCTATCCATCAAGTCAAGCCCGCCGAGCAGTTGGCCCCTCGATTACGTCCCTGGTCATATTCTCGACAAGATCGTGGATTATGTGGCTCAGGATGCGATCGAATCCGATTTCTACGACCCATCTAAAACTTCATTCGAGCAGGAGAGAATCGGATATGGCCTCATCCCTTTCTCGCTCGACCTGAAGAATATGTCGTTGGTCAACCGGGCTTTTCGCGAGAATGTCTTTCGTCGAAAAGTCATGGAATTGGTGATACTCAATTCTTTTGATCGGGTCGAAACCGGTCTGGCCAGTATCCGAGAGGAATCTTTCACTTACATCCGGTAAGTCTGTTAGTGTGACCGTATAGACTTGAACGTTACTGACCTCCCTTTGCAGACGACTTATCTCAGGCAGCATCTCCATGGAGCAATTCCTCACCAATGCCGAGTGGGCTGCACAACTAGAATTCTTGAAGAAATGCCCGGCAGTTCGCGACGTGATCGACCATACGGAGCGTCTCGCATATACAGGATATTCATTCCCGCCAACAACATCCCATTTGGCACTCACGCTCGGTACTGCGAAGAAGAGGTTGCCTCCTCCGATCATGCTCTCTGAGCTGCAGGGTCTCTGCATATGGGTACCGGACCGGAGTAGACGTGCGAATTTCTCCATGGAGAATGCACTCGAGTTTCAAACTTCGGTGCAGGCGCTCTGTCAAAGCATCAAGGGGGTGGGAAGCCTCCATTTGCATTCGCCCGGCGTGGGCGCTGCTCGCTATAATCCCCCGGGCGAGCTCCCTCCCGAATTGCGTATGCCCGATTACTTGGGTTGCACTCTTCTGAAGATCGACCACTTCCTCTTGACCACAAACTATGAGGTTCGCTGCCAGAATCCGAGCAATGGAGGGGAAGATGGTTGGGTAAGTCACCTAACATCGTTTCATGTCAGGGCGCAAGGCTGATAACTGTAACGGTATGACAGTGGGACTACTACTCGTGGTTGCTGCACACTGCGCCAGAGATAAAGCACATCGAAATTACCATGCTCTGGCAGCGTTGGAACGGCATGTACAACAAGAACCTCACCGTTAGAGAGATCTTGGATCAGATCGGGATGACGACATTTCAGGCAGACGATCTTACCCAGCGCAAACTTTACGCGAGAGGCGAGGCTATCAGTACATCTGTTAGACAGTTCTTTGACAGGCTCTTTAAAGCTCGACAGGGACTCAGGAAGATTACTCTGAATTATGCGTGCAACTTTACGTGGGGTCAACATCCTCTCCGTTTCCGGACGATCACGGCGACTCGAACGGACAATGCGAAGATAGGTCAGATCACCGCTGTCTGTAACGATGCTATCTTCTATGACCTGCTCGATCGATCTCTTCGAGAAATCACTGGATGCGTGGGATCCGACGCGGGTTTCTACAATGGCATGGGCGGAGCGCATCTTATCAATGCCATGTTCGAGATCAGATCGGCTCTAGCCGGCATTGACATCGAAGGTAGTCAAGTCTAAGATCGTAAGAGGATTTAATAATACATTCATGGTTCGCTCATCAAAATTTTACTGACTAAGCGATCTCTTCCACTTGCAGCGACCGTGTAGCGCTTCTACCGTCTCGATCTGCCGGCGAAGAGCCCCGAAAGATGACGAAGCCCTCAAACTACCATACGTCAACACCGCTCCAACCACCCCTTTATACGCGCAAGGAGACGAAGAGACATACGGACATACTATTTTCATTTCCGCCCTTTCGATCGGAAACTCCCTTTTGCGAAGCCAAATAAATTTTGGTAATACATGTGCCAGCTTTGCACTCCACGAGCCTTCCCTCAATCTCCCAACCTCTGTAAAGCCCGACCGTACGCATCTTATGTAGAGACCGCCCCGCTTCTAGGCGATAACGTTGATACGATTGTCATATACAAAAATGTCTGTATAGATTTATATATCTGCCGCTCCGCCCTAATCTGGAAGGTATTGATCCTGCCATAGTTCGCATTTGAAGGAGTTAAAACTGCTTTTCTGAATACTGTCGCTGGTTCTGCACTCTGTGTTGGTAAATATTGTTTGCCATATCGAGAATTCATGCTCCACAAATTACGATGTGTGGGCGTGGACACATGGATATCGCGTATAAGCGCATAGGGTTTCGTTTGTGAACTCTGCAGTTGTAACGAGAAGAGGTGTTCTATAGCAAGAACCGTACAAGAAGTATCGGTAGTATCGTAATTTAGAGCGGCTCGAAGCCTAAGTAAAGACGGACGAAGAGGTTGGTCGTAATGTAGGAAGTCAAACGAAAGATGACACTGAAAAGCTTTGTGAACCTGGATAGCGCGACAGCGGTCACCGCTCGAACCGAAGTAGCTACGCCGTGTCTTCCAGGTGGACCTCCTCGAGCTGAGCGATCATCGCCTTCGCTCGTGATTCGGTTGCCTTCAGACCTTCTGGCAACATCTTTTGCATATATACCGACGTGGCTAGATGCCCTCCACCAAGTCGAGCAAACTCCATGCAGTCATCGATGACCATTTGAACCGAATCGATGTCGATCAGGTCTGTGTGGTAGATGCTCATCCGCTCAGACCCCGGGGTCGCCATCTTGACCGCCCTGACCGTTCGAAAGCTGTGCGAGACCGAGAATCCGCCACCAAGAGATGGCGAATTGGCCTTGTAGTCCAGCAGGACCATGTGCGCCCCCGGGCAGAACTCTAGAACCATCTCGAGAAAGTCTCTCATATCTCGGGTAGTCGGATTACCGTCCGTAAAAACCCTGCCCGTCTGGTTGTCCGCTTTGACGAGTTGCAAGCTCATCGAATCCAGAAAGTCTCGCGGGGTATGATCCTGAAAGTCTCGCGGGTTATGATCGTCAATGAGGTGGCAGTTGAGATGCCAGTCCATGGTGATGATGAAATGATTGATACGGGGAGAGGTGTCAAAGATCCAGCGCAAGTACGCCCACTGTGGAAGCGTAATTCGGTGATCAAGATAGTCAGTCAGCTTAATTCACCGTGTTGCAGACGCGCCGAAATTGACTCACCCAATGAGCCTCTCTCAGAGTATGTCCATCCACCGTACAATACGGCATCGTGATTTTCAAAGTCTTCACTTCCTTCAATGTCTTGGGCAAAGGGTCCGAAGTCCTCAACTCGGGAGGCAATCGACGAGCACCCCAACCGCCTGGAGAAGCCGTACCCGGCAAGTTCAAGTGAAGGTTGTCGATACGCTCGATGTCGCGTAACATGATCAGGGCCTTTTTGGTGTATCGATCCATCTCGATATTTCCATCGGCTTCGAGACGTCCGGCCAGGGAGCTCGCAATTACCAACTTCCGCAGCCCAGGAAGGTGAATTGGAACCGGCATCTTTTCGCCGTACTGGAGCACGAGATCGAGCTCGGTGACGTGCAAAGGGTAGTCGTGGTAGTAGGCGACTTGACCGGATTCATCGAGGATGGATTGCACGTTTGGGCACAAGGCAAAGATTTTACTGCGCTCGGAAGCCCAAGCAGTGTGATCGACCTCGCACTCGTGGATCCGGGTCAAGATGATATGTCTGGTCTCGATACGTCTCAGTTCACATAAGGCGGGATAGATCGTACGAGACCACTCACTTAACGAAGGACAAAGTCTGGGCTCTGACCATTGCCCTTATATTGGCCATATCTTCGGGTGACTCCAACATGAGGCTAGAGAATATCTTCCTGCTCAAGACGTTCCCGCGAAAAGCATGATTGACAAGGGACATGTTGCGCAAGTCCGGCGACATGGGAGTGAAGTTGCTCTTGCCAGGGTAACTCGCCGACAAGTGACAGGTGGGGCGATCGCATTCGTGCTCTTCAATTGCCCAGACAGCGAGATGATCCACGATCAGGTCGAGGACGCTTGTAGGGACATGATCCGTAGACCACTTGCTCGAAGGCGGTGAAGGACCAAACATCGGTACGTGTGATGCAAACAAGTTCGTCGTGGACGTGTCGCGGGAGTCTGCTAGTTTGGGAATGTCGGTGGGGACTTGTAGCTTGTGCCGTGTGAAAGGAGTATAAGAAGTATAAGTAGTTGTGCTGATAATGACTCGAACAGAGACCTAATTTTCCTGTTCATTAGGCTTCTCTTCTCGCTGTGGACCGATCGTCGCTCGACCCAAAAAGCTCGTTGTTGTCAATCACGCGACAACAACAACAAAAGGCTGAAACGCCAGTCAATAGAGGATCGGGTGTGTCTCAAGCCTCCTCGGTTCGGCGGGACGATCATGACGATATCACGGCACCTCATCATTCGGCCTCTGATCAGAGATAGTCGCTGTGCGCTGTAGCTCTGTAGATCTGTAGTCCGCTTGAAGGCAACAACATCAATTTGATGAGTTTGTGGATGGCGGCTGCGGACAGCACCTTTCGCTCGCGGATGCTCTTCAGACCGTTTTCAGTATGTTGTTGGCAACGACGCCCGAGCGATCTAACTTTTTTTTAGCTTGCGACTGGTTGGACGGACACATAGACCAGGCTTGTACTCGTATACCCATGGTCAGCGATCAGTAAGCAGAACGGTGGCGATCCAGGGCGATAACTACAGCCGCTGTCGTCAACTTCTCGCTTCGGTTTCCGTGAATCTTGTTGAACAACGTGCCATGCGAGGAGTGAGCGGGATCAAAATCTGAAACAAAGAACAATAACGACCACGCATGGATTGATGCGATCAGTCGCAACCGTCAAAGGCTCCTCCCTTTGATCAATCTCGCCCCATCGGATCAAAACAAAAACAGACAAAAAACGAAACATGGTACTTTGCAAGAATTTCCTGAAGGGGCAAACCTCGGATCCGAGCGAGAAACAGCAAAATCTCGAAAGGGCGGGGGGGACAACGAATCCCTTTGACTGTCACATGTCGATGACATCGATACCTGATATCCGTCCCGCGAGACTTGCTCACGAACCCGTCAGTTGGTTCATCAAGCCATCGATCAAGTAACGATATTCACAACTTCAGGATTGGCATTATATCCTCATATCGCCGCGAGGGCAGACCTAGACCCTGTCATAGATGACCGCTCCCACAACTCCATCGTCATGATCGGACCGGTTCCACCTCCCAGCTCCTGGCCGCTCGAGGATGTTCCGGGGACGATCCTCGACATCATCGTCGATTACCTAGCCGACGACGCCGAGCTCAATCATCATTGCGATGGTGGTCCATGTATCTACGGGATCGCGTGTTTCGGGGTCAAACCTGTGGTCCCCCTTTCTCCCGGCCTCAAAAACTTGTCCATGGTCAGCTCAGGTTTCCGATACAACATCATGGCCAGAAAAATCGCACATACTGTTCATCTCAAGTCGACTTCTCACATCCTCAAGCAACGGCGGAAGATTCGCAAAGAGACTTACGCGTGTATCAGGTAGGCTTGCAGGCCGACGGGAAAGGTATTCTGAACTCATTGAGACTGCCTATCGGTTCGATAGACAGATCATGTTCGGTCCTTCTAACCTACCCAACATCGACTTCAAAGCTTGGAGCGCTCATCGCAACGCGTTCATCAAGCTCTGCCCGAACCTCGAACGCGTCCGGGACGATTCTGGAGAGATCGCTTGCAATAAACACGTCTTCCCCGCTTCCCTCACTCACCTCCGTCTCCTGCTACGTTCGGACAAAACGAACGTACAAACCATTCACGCTCCGGGCCTTCGAGACCTCCATATCGGTCTAGACCCGTTGGGATTGACGGAGTACGCCGTTCCGCATCTAGCGGCGGGGTTTCCGAGAAGGCTGGCCAAGATCTTACGGCACGTCAAGAAACTTGATCGTCTCGAGATGCAATTGCCGGGACTACCTCTCAGGATTCATGAGAACTTCACAGAGCTGCAGTTGCCGGATCCGATACCCGCATCGCTGGAGACTTTGGGGTCGCTGGAGCTAGAGATCCCGTTCTGCACCATCGACCACGAGTCTCTACGAGCCACTGCATGGGTGAGTAGTTTCCTTATTCTACCAGGATTTAGCTCAGTCATAACGACGTGCTGATTTTTTATCATCTGTGCAGTTCGGCTACCTCGCCTGGCTCTGCAAAACACCGTCCAATTTCAATCGACTCGCCATAACCATGACCTGGTTGCCATCTCCTTTTGCTTACGGTCCCCCCAATCCTTTTCCTTACGGTCCTCCCAGTACACGCTCTATCTTAGACTCGATGGGTCTCAGCGGGGTAGAGGAGACGGATGGCGGGACCAGGCTCAAAGGCTCCGAAGAGAGTGCGGTCTCGGACCTTCAGGATTACTTTCAACACCTACTGGAGAGTCATCAGGCGCTCGAGGTCGTTCACTTCAGATGCTGGGCACTTCTGCCTCTCGATGAGCGAGCTCCACCCGTACTGTTCCGCGACATGATCGGAGTCAAGAAGCGCCAAGCCTCGGTGAACAACTCCGTTGTCACTGCGTTCGATGACCGCATTATATTCGACACCGTCGACAGGATCATCCGGGATACTCAAAAGAGATCGAAACAAGCCGTGGCCCTACCACCTATCACGATACACGGTCCAGATGGTCCTCTCAACATGGCGGATGCGTTCCCTCCCGAGCTTGCCGCTCACGCTGCTGCAGCCATGAACCAGATGATGGCAAATTTCGTGCCTGGAATTGCTCCGCTTGTGCAGCCTCCTGTGAACACCCAGCCTTCCGAAGATGATGAGTGGGAAGAGACAGGATAACGATGTCTCTCGTGAGTCACTTTGTTCTCATCCATAGAGACGGGTACTGATCACCCGATTATTGATTTAGCCCTAACCCTACACACACTTTCATATCGCACGAATCATCACTCGAAATCCCTAGCTAAACCTCGCTCTGCCGGCACTTTACGAATACGCAACCCTTACGAATATGAACAAGCCGTGACAGATTTCAACCTGTCTTAGTCGTACGGTCCTATTTCACGACCATTTCATACCACGCCGAATGTCCTCTTACATAGGTCTATATGCATGCAATATTAGGATGATGCAGTTCAAACAGTACTCCAGGAGCTGCTACTCAACTCGCCGACTGGGCCCAAGCCGCCAGCCCTCGATACGATCCCATCCGAAGAGGTTATGTGAAGCCGAGTCCTCACGCATGTTATAATGACCAAAGATCCAGTTGACGTCCAGTGGCTAGCACGGTCGCGAAGCCAGTCCCCTCGAACATCGCCTCAAAGTGGGTGGCAACGGCACCCGACCTTCTCACGCGATCTGTTCTCTCTCTGGTCGGAGAAAAACGGTGAAAAGGGAATTGTCAGGCTGGCTGACACTTTGCGAAATCAGTACCCCCTTCAATCTGGGTCCAAACAGGCCCGATAAAGGCCCGTTTGAGGCCAGATATGCTAAAACGCGGGATCTATTACTGTATATATGCCCTAAGACGCGAATGGGGTTGATATCCCCAAAGGTTCTAGCTCTGATAGGACTGCAGATACATCGATCAATGCAGGGTCGAACGTTATCAGGTCGTGACACAAGACCTGATACAAGCCTCGATATAAATCACTAGCAAATGACCCGTAAAAACGATCGAAAACGCAAATTGGCCAAGGCAGGGCCTGTTCGTCCGCCCAGCACCTGGCCGCTCGACCACATACCCGAACCGGTTCTGGATATCATCATCGAGTACCTGGCCGACTCTGCGAGAAATTTTCAGCCTGGAGGTGCCTCGAGTGTCTTCAGGACGACCTGCCTAGGTAGCGCTCCAGTCGTCCCCTTGACCAGCGACCTGAAGAACCTCTCCATGGTTAACGCCCACATCCGTCAGATGGTGATGGCAACGCATATTGCCCACACCGTTGCACTTGGATCGGCATGGCATATCTTCGAAACTAAAGAATCGCTACGCCCGCAAACTCTTGGGTCGATCAGGTCAGATAATCAATTGGCGATCTCGACGGTTCCAAACTGATCCGTACTTGGATTTGGCTCGAACTCACAGACAGATCGTTTTTGTACAACCTTCCGACCAATCTCAATGCCAGTCTCCGCTGCCGGACCTGGCAAACATGTTGTGGCGGAGTCACCGGAAAGCGTTTATCGAATCCTGCGTCAAGCTCGAGCGTATCGTCGATCAGACAGGCGAGATGACCTACTCCAGCCACCCTTGCCCAGCCTCTCTGCACGATCTGAGCATGAGACTCTTGTCTGGAACTCGGATGCCCGCTCCGATCGAGGCCATGGGCTTGAAGAAACTTCGCTTGTCGCTGGATCACTCTGCGCATCTAGAAGGTAGCGGCTCGCTCGAAGCGGCTTGGTACCGCGAGAAGTTAGGAGCGCTCCTGCGGAACACCAAGAAGCTCGACAAGCTCGAACTACAGCTTCCCGGACTGCCGGCTGCTCCACCACTTCCTGTGGAAGATGTACCGCCACACTTATGGACGAACGATCCCTTGCCCGCAGCCTTGCGTACAGCCGGGGTATTGGAACTGGATGTACCTTTCTGCACTGTGGAAGATAGGAGCCCGAGGGAGGCAGCTTGGGTGAGAACCGTAGCCTTGCTGGTGTGATTGCTTGATCCCTCTGACGAGTCTCGACCCCTCGATAGTATGCCTACCTTCGATGGGTGCTCGATACCAAACCCAAGTTCACGCAGTTGGACGTCCATATGACGTGGGACGAGACGTTCGTAGCGGGGCATGCCATGACGCCGCGAGGCATCTTCGATTCCATGGGTCTTGTGAAAGTTCGCCAGAGAGACGATGATGGCAAATCCTACGTCCCAGGTCGAGAGACGATGAGCCAATGTCTGCGAGACTTTTTCGGTTTCATCTTTGACGGACGACCCGAGCTGGAAAAGGTCCAGCTCAAATGTCTGGCCATCCCACCGACCTGGCCAGGCATGCAGGTCGGACCTGAGGTGTTCCGACATCTAGTCGGGACAAGGTATCCTCATGGAGCCATCCTGTTCGAAGATGTGATCGGCTTCGAGCTTGTCGATAAGCTGGTAGGAGAGCTCTATACAAGATCGACTCCCGACATTCACGGGGACACGTCGCGGGACGTATGGGTTGGAACGGACGTCCTCAGTGCAGACGGTGTCTTTGACGGGGCCGAATACATGAGGCAGTATATGGCGGCTCGGGATTCTCCGGCGAATGTCGAATATACCAGGCAAGTAATCGCAAACTACATGGCATCGATGCCAGCGGCCCCCTCTTAGTCGGCCGATCGAGGTTGGAGGTAGCCTTAGGGCGGTAGAACCACGTGCGTTGAATATCGCTCACTCGAAGACATACAGTATTCCGCGTTGGTGGGGCTTACCGACCATGCGATCCTCCAGGCAGCACTTCAATCACTGTCCCTCCTTATCTCGGTTCACTGCGCCAATTCTCCTGGTCTTCCGCTCTCGATAATTCACTCTGTGAAACAGGCGCGACCATTTCGAGCTTGGCGAGCGCTTCACGCGCAGATATGCTCAGCCGCCCGTTTCCGCTTGCAATGGTTGATATTATCCGAAGACTTTAAAGTTGAGTGATGCACCTGTTGTACTGTAGCCCACGATTTTTTGATAGTAGAACGAGACGAATTCTCTGATCTAGGAATCAGAAACCAGCGCGAGGCCGACGTCTTCCTTGTGTTCGGTTGCACGATCGCAAGCTCGACGCGTAACCGAGACAATAGAATCGAAGGGATGCCTTTGTGATTGTCGGTCGTCAGGAACAATCAAAGGACCCTCGAATCAAGGTTTCCGTATCCATCGCCGAAGGAGTGGGAGTGATGCAGTATGGTATCGGAAGCCAAAGGTATACGCATATATGCTGGCAGACCCCGTTTACATTTGCAGGGGTACGACCCATCGAAGAATCGAATACAGTCTGCGTTCAGATATTCGCACAATTATGACATCGATCGGGTACACTCATCACAAAAAGAACCGACCGACTCTTGGACCGCCGCTTCCGCCTAGTAGATGGCCGCTTCAACACGTCCCCGCTTGTATACTCGACGTGATCGTGAATATACTTGCCGACGCTGCGGTCGACTTGGTCGACAAGCCGGAGATCTTCAAGGTCGATCCGAACCTTGAGGTATTCAGGCCGCTTTCTCCTGAGCTGAAAAATATGTCGCTGGTGAACAAGGCGTTTCGCAGGAATATTATGGAGAGGAAGATCATTCATACAGTAGTCATCAAGTCTCCGCGGCATTTGACGAAGGTCCAAAGCCAATTTACGCAAGAAGGGAGGACTTATATCCGGTGAGCGAACCGCACGGTTACACACGTCTAGAGCATTCGATAGACGATCAGCTGATATAAGCCGCAGCTGTCTCATGCTAGCGGAACCCCACACTGCTGATAACGACTCCTTCGATGAGAAGAAATGGTCGGCTCAACTTCGACCGTTCTTGAAGAGCCTGTCTAATCTGGAGTCCATCTTCGATGAGAGTGGCGAGCTAGGCCGGACGAAGCACGCGCTTCCAAAGTCACTCCAAGGCATCGAACTCGTGTTGGCGCCGGGCAAGACGATGCCGCCGGCTTTGCAGACGCTTCGTCTTGTCGAGTTGTCGGTCAAGCTCAACGAGGAAAGCCAACAGGAGGAACTCAGCAACGCGGAATCTGCGTTGTACCCTCGGAAGCTCCGTGCTCTGTGCAAAAACGTAAAGGCCTTGCAACGACTCGTCTTAGTATTGCCAGGGCTTGCGACTTGCATCTGCTCACACGGTCCTCGCCTAGACCAAGAGCTCCAGCTGCAGGACCCGGTCCCCCAAGGGTTACCCTGTCTCGGCATCTTGACCTTGAAGAGCCCGTTCTGCTACATCGAACCGGGCGGCTTGCGAGAATCGCATTGGGTGAGTGGTGAGCCGGGTGGAGAGATAAAGATCTGTTGGCTGATTATCCCAGCTTGATTCTAGTGGGGATATCTCGGTTGGCTATTCCATACTCCAGCCCGCTTTAGTCGATTACTTGTCGAAATGACCTGGGTACCTTATATGCACCTCGACGCGCCGCCGACTGTGCAGCTCATCGCCCGGCGCATGGGGATCGCCGCATACCACGGAAGCGTATTCAAAGACCCTGTCACCGGAGAATCGAGTATCGCTTCTTTGAAGAAGAATACCCTCGATCAACCGATGAAAGATTTCTGCACCTCTTTGTTTCACAAGAAGAAAGAGCTGCAGCAAATCGTATTTCAGCTATCGAAATGTACCCCGATGGATCAAGGGCGACCGGTCCGTTACCGCCGCATCAGCGCGGTTCGACGTTCCACCGATGCTCCACCGTCTGATCCCGAGGTCACATTCGTAGATCGGCTCGACTTCAAGGTCGTCAAAGCTACTTGTGCCGAGGTGATCGCGATGTATACCGAGTGGTTCGAACCTCCGCCCGCTCACGAGCCCGGATTGGAGATGTGGAGGCGGATCTTCAGGCTGCGTGCGATGGGCAGAACCGGTGCTGGAGTTGAGGTGACCTACCCTGAGGATGGGCACCGCATGATACTCCTTAGCTAGCGGTTGATCATCGCTTTCGGAGCTTCGCCGAACAGATCATGATCGCGCTTGTTCGCCGTTCCACCTACAGTATCGATTGATTACGGGCCGTTCAAACCCATAAATCTACTTTCACCTCGTGCTTCGCCGTATCATTCGTTTTCAGTTCCAAAGATTGTACCTGAATAGGATATCGTATAGCTATGTTTTTACCGCCTTGGAATAACATCAACGCAACTATTGCCTAGCGCTCTTGACTGAATTGAGATTGATTGCACGGGAAATTTCGTGTGAGCGTCGTCGGAAATATCGAAATTCTGATGGTGGAGTGCATACCTCGAAATGGTGTCTCTGAGACCTGACCGTCGCCTACTCTCCGCATCACTCTGCACTACTTGGATCCGTCCGCTGAGGTCGGCGATTGAAAGAAGCCAATATCGGAAATATCAACGAGAGATCGCTCATGTCCTGAATTGCGCTATTGACTAATCCCTCTCTTTCCAGATCGATCTTGTCGGTGCAGCCTATTGTATCCTGTAAGCCTGAGGTGCCTATCACTCGGCTCGCGTGCACCGTGCGGAATGGCTTGGCCACGTCGTTTCCTAGTATATCGTGCATGCCCCTCATCCTCAGGAAGACTTTGTAGATGATGGTGATCTGCTCAAAGGCTGGGCGGGCGTATAATAAAGCTGCCAAGAAATCCTTCATGTCCAGAGTCATAGTGTCCACTCTATTATCCCGGCAGACCCAGCTGCCGGCGAACAGTGACTCATATCCCGAGATATGACCCAATCCCATAGCGATTGCGACATCTCTTTGGGTCGGACGTTCTTGCGGAATTATATCCGCATCGAACGTCATTGTGACGACGATGCTTTTGATCTTGGTAGGAGTGAAGAAGAGCCAAGAGAAGTAGCCCCACTACAGTAAGTAATACGGCAATCAGTACAGACAATGGCAGGTTGTTCTCGGTTGAAGACGCCCGCTCACCCAATGCGCTTCCCTTGCACTGCCTTTCTCAGGGGTACAGAATGGTATATCCATGACCAACGTGTCCAATCCTTTGAGGTGGCCGGGGAAAAAGCCGGGAAGATTTGATCCAGAGGGTAGACGACTCTCTTGTGAGAACCGAGGGCCAGGTAAGTTCGGCAGCTTGGTCTCGAACCAATCTAGATGTTCGATATGTCTCATAAGTGATTGTATGAAGATGCCGAAATCTTGGAAGTTATCGATCCGCTGCTCCACCGCGATGACGAGGCGCCTATACGTTACATTCAGCGTTGTCACGGAGAATCAGAATGGAAAACGAGTTCCGGCTTACTTGATCAGCGGGGACGTAACCTTGTTTGCCATCTTGAAGGCGTTCATAATCTCGTCACGGGATCATACTTGAACCAAGTCAAGGCACTTTTTCTTGGCAAATACGCTCCTGCGACAAGCATCGTCGACGACAGCCAGATTTCGCAAGTCCGGCGACAATTTTCTAGTGGGCGGGCCTTGGTCCTGGATGAGATGATCGACGATACGATCTAAGATCGGTCCGGGAATATGATCTAATTGCCAAGTGCTGGGCGGTCTGCTTGGCCCGAATGATGTGGACATTGGGATGCTGATGGTATCTATCGATTATGACTGGCGATAAGTCTGAGTCAGTTGAAGGGAAGAGATAATGTACTCTCTGCATCAATCTGCATATCTGTACGGTGTTATTTGATGACCCTCTCCTCCGCGTCGACACCATTTGACCATCAAAATCCCGGTCTTTTGTTCGCCTTTTTTGCTGCCGCGCGTCGACAACAAAAGATGAAACGCGAACAGTCAAAGCGCTTTCTCACGCCGGCAAGAGATCGGCAAAGCCCGAACGCAACTCAATCAATCAATCGTATGTCTATGAAATAATGGTGCGGTCGGAGTTCATATTGGGTCATGAGAAGAGGAAGGCCAGTCTGTATACCAAGGGGCAAATTCGTTTGCCGTGCGATTTCGCTGTGGACACGATATAGACTGATCGTCATGCCCACTGCGAGGGGCCTATGACTCGCGGATATTTGCTATCCTTGGTCGCCCCTTCGTCTGGTCTAGTAGTGGCGAGCGTGAGTGATTGAGGCCGCTGGAGTTGTACTAGATCGCGGTTGTCTCGTAAGATCCAGTAATAAACGACTGTATTCTTAAGCGGGTACCCAGATCGTCGACATCTGCCCGGCTTGAGATCCGAGCTTCCGATTCCTAAAGGTATACACCAAACGCCGCAGCCGAGGTGTCAGCATTCAACTGTTTTGCTGCGATCCTCGTGAAACGAGACTTGCCGACTCTGCCGTTGTCCAGCACAAGTTCCGTCGCGCTCAACCGGCCGGGACGTGTCGGTCTGCCCTCACATGCGCCCCGACGAATTGGGCCACTTGCTCAAAGTTGATATCGTCGTTAAGGTCGACGCCCCTCTTCTTCCTGTTCCTCGTCGCCCCCAACTGACGATATACGTGCGCCTTGTCCCTATCGGTTTCCCCATTAGAGTTCCGGGCCCCGTTCGCCATCCCGCTGGTATCAAAGGCATAGGCGTAGCGGAGGACGACCATTTCAAGATCATGGCGTGCGCGGAACAACTTTGTCAAGAAGACCTGCATATGGACATCCGTGGGCTGGCCTTTGCTCTTGGCATCGAGGGTCGCCTGCCATCGCTGACCGTTGGACCTCAGACGTACGTTGGGCAGACACATGGGACCCAGCAGAGCACTCGTCTCGGTGGGTGCGCCATTCCTGCTAAGTTCACTCTGCCAGTATTCTACGTCCCATACCATGATGAGTTCTAGCCTACGGATTGCCGTTGGGCAGTCGATAAGCCAAGCCCAGTAATCCCACTGACAGAGGAGGGAGGAGAATCGATAAGCTGGTATTTCTCGGGAGACTCATTGAACTGGCAGAATACTCACCCAAAGAGTTGCTCTCCGTATGTCCTCAAAGGACCGAACGACGACCTCGAGAAAAAGGGTTCCAACACTTTTCAACCCCGGCGGTAAGAGGTTTCTACTCTTCACCTCGGAAGCGAAGAAGTCTTCTGTAGGAGGTCTCAAATGGAGGAGCTCCAATTCCGTAACGTGACGCAGTAAAGACGCTACGTTCAGACTGAAGGCCTCGACTTCCTCCGGATGGCAGGTTTCGATACGGCATATAGGGTCTGCCGCGATATTGAACCCTTACACGCTAGGGATGCGTATAGCTCCCGGCGGTATTCTGCCTTTTCGCAGAGTCAGAGCGACGTCTCGGGAAGACTCGGGAATTGCTTGATCCATATAAGCTACCTCCCCGGTATGATCCACAACCATGATAGCGTCTGTGCATTGTGCGAGAAACCTCCTTTGACTCGATGGATCCCAAGGCACTTTGTCCGGAACCCCGTCCGTCCTTCCGAAAACAACCAGCCTGTTTGCAGATCTCACAGAGTGAAACGCTAGGTAGGTAACACCATGCTCACGCACTCACTCGATAAAGGGGTAGGTCTCCTTGCGAACAACCTTCAGAGCCTCGTCCAGCTCCTCAGGCGAAGGCAGTCTGATATCAGACATGCATTTCGTCCTACGGAAGATTTTCCGGCGACAGACAGGGTCGACCGAAGCCATTGCCCCGACTCCTTCCGGGTGTGCCGCTCCCCCTGCAAGCTCTGATTCGGCGGCGTCGAACAGGACGTGAAGGATGATGCAATCTAGGATCGGTTCAGGGACATGGTCGAGCGTCCAGGCGCTGTGGGGAGCGGGAGGACCGATCATGGCTAGCGAGTTGGGCATTTAGGTAAAATTTACTGCACCACTATCTCTGTCAAGGAGTGTCCATCTCTGCCAAAGACGAAAGGTTGCATGATAAGGAAGTCACAACACACAGCTACCAAAAGCTACAGTACAACTAGTGTTCACGGACGTTGACCGGCCGATTCGACGGCATCGGAAGCATTTGAAAGCATCCGGAAGCATATCTTCGGAACCTAATCATCCCCCGTTCGCTAGAGCTGCCGAGCTAAAACCAAGAGCAGTTGGCTAGGTCTTCCCTCGACTTGTGCAATGGTCGAGTGAGACTTGCTGGCAGATACGCTACTCACAGCCCTGAGCATCAATCGATAGAATGACCGAGACTGCTACATCTTGGAAGCTGCCTGTGGGCCAATTTTCGCCGAAAGACAAGGGCAGGTACGAGCTCGAAACAACGTGCATGCTCCTATAGCTTGGCTAACGCATCGATCGCTCTCTTTTCAGCTTTTCGTAAGCCGGCCAAGGTACTGAGAGGATTGCAGATAGAGGGGGGCTGACAATGATCTTGGTATCAGCTATACAACGGTGGCGAAGCGGTAAGCCGACTGGGTCACCTCATACGCTATTGAACCTGGCTGACCGTTTCGCAACGTTTCTTAGATGGCCGACCATTCTCACTCAGATCGTCTCTACACTCTCAAACGAGATACACCATGTTACCACATCCAAAGAGTCGGAATCAGAAGCCAGCAAGGAGAAAATTGAGGAAGGCAAGGAGATCATCAGGTCTATCAGCGAGTTGAAGCATGATATGGGCAGGAACAAGGTGTTATCGTGAGTCTCGACGTCCGAGCCATGTGTTAACACGCTGCGAAGTCTTACCTTGCGGACCGGATATGTCGCAGACCGATAGAAGATGATGGTGGCTCGAATGTCGACTGCTACAACGAACATCTGAAAGCCCTTGACGGGACAGACGATACCTGGTTTACCGCCGCTTGGCTCTTTGCGGAATGCTACCTGTAAGTATCTCGCTCTTTGCTCTTCAGGCTGCGTTTCGCTATAAGAGGCTGACACCGTGCCCGGATATCCCGGTACGCTGCTGCCGCCATGCTTCTGGTGTGTAATCAGATATCGGCGTCTGAGAACATACTTTGCTAAGACAAAGCATTGGAACCAGTTCGACCCGTTCTTCACCCAGAAAGCCGATACCTACAAATCGAGCTCTACTGCCATCATCCGTGAGTCTTGACAGTAACAGCTCTACGATCGCGAGATGATTCCTTGACGGCCAGACGTGATCCACATTCCGTAGATTTGGCCAAGAGCTTGAAAAAGCTGGATGGCGAACAGGACGAGTTGTTGCAGGGTTACAAGGAGAAGGGATCCGCGATGGAAGTCGTCTTCTAGTGAGTCTAGCGGTCGCGTCACGTGTACCTCCGGATCTGACGCGGATCCTTTGGGTTCGATTGTTTTAGTGAGATGATGCAAGCCGCTTTGTGGGGAAACGCCACCGTAAGCACAGGCTTTCGATCTCTTACCGCTATCCTTGCACAGCTGAGGCCCATTACTATCTCGTCCAGGACCTGTCGCTCCTCGTCGATCTGTCGTACTCGGACCTCCAAAAACTGCAACAACTCGGTTCGGCCAGTCAAGCGGAGCAAGCCAAGTTTATCCTTCGGAATGATCTGGAAAAGGTGTGGGCGATCGTCAAGAACGTCAAGAACGGTCGGGTTGATATCGTGCTTGACAACGGTAAGTTCGGCTAGAACGGGTCTACACTTTGAGCAAACGCTAAAATCGCTTCTGGATCTGACACAGCCGGATTTGAGGTTTGTCAAAGAATACCAGATTGTCGCACTCTGTCCAAACGCTGATCTGAGATCCATTTCGCAGCTTTACACCGATCTTATCTTGGCCGACTTCCTGCTCAGAACTCCTTGTGTCTCGGAAGTAGTCTTCCAGTGAGTTGCGGTTCAAGACCCTGCGATCGTACTGTTTCTGCGCTGACGTATGGCCTTTTGTCTACAGCCCGAAGGATATCCCTTGGTTCGTTTCGGACGTGATGCCATATGACTTCTCGTGAGCCCATCGTCGTTGCCCAATCCGATACGACTTGACGCTCACGTCGATGATATCAGCTGGGCTATCGATTCGCTGGCGGATCAAACCTTCTTTGCCAAACACACCGAAGGACTAGAGCAAGAGGATCTCGACATCCTCTCGGCTCTTTCCGCTCGATGGCGCGAGCATCTCTCGGCCGGACGGTTCAAACTGTCCGTACCGTTGGACACCCCCATCGGAAAGGTTACCGACCTGGGTGGGTTCTGGACGACGCAACACCCTTATCAGCGTATTCCCGAGAAAGATCCCAAACTCCAGAAAGAGCTTCAAAAATCAGACTTGGTCATCCTCAAGGGTGATTTAAATTACCGAAAGTGCGTCTCGGTCAACGATGTTCCCTTTTCTTCACAAGAGCGTTGCTGACGAGAAATGCGTGTACTTGCGGACAGACTCGTCGCGGATGGCAAGTGGAATCCTACGACGCCGTTTGACACCGCGCTAGGACCGATGGCAGGCCAAGTCAATCTGCTAAGCCTGCGTACCAACAAGGCCGATCCGATGTGAGTTGACGTAGCAGAGCAAAAGAGGCAAAGGCGATTGCGCTAACGTATTGTCGGCCATAGCGTTGGCTTACCTGAAGGGACCGCTGAGCGACTCGACAAGGAACACGCGAACTGGCGAGTCGATGGAAAGTACGCTGTCGTCTCTTTCTCGCAAAGGACGCAATAGACCCCCGCATAGTTGTAAAGCGAAAGCGTATTTAATAGGAGCCCATGCATGAAGACGATGCGTGTGTTTGTCTTGATACAAGTGGAGATCAGAATCAAGCGAAACCGAATTATAAGAGCACAAAGAGAACTATCTTAGTGCGGGGCGTCGAGCTCTCCGCGACAGGTAACATAAAATCGAAATGGCATCTAGACCTGATTGTCATGCGTGCGGGTGTAAAGTACTCCTCCTTGGAGACTAGCCTTGCGGCGCTGTCGAACGACGACTTCGCGAGGCGAACCTGGCGGTGAAACGGGAGTGATAGGAGCGCCGGGAGACAGAGGTGAGTTGGGCCACATCGGCGGCGATATCATTTGTCGTCGATCGCCCATCGATCGCATAGCCCGAGCTGAAGGTGCAAACGTCGGCGACGTGATGGTGGACGATTCGGGAGCGGGTCGGATCGAGGCGGACCTGCCGAGTCCGGAATCGCGATTGTATGGAGATGGCGATGGCGACGGAGAAGGCCCAGGTGAGCTGTCAATGCGGGCCCTGGCGATGCCGGACGCTGATGGTTGAGGCGCTCGAGATCGGACCGGGGTTGCGTGTGGATCATTGGCGGAAGTAGGCAAACTCAAGAACGCCAGCTTGCCCGTGGGTCGGTCGAGCGAGAGCGACAAGTTCAGCGAGGAGGCGGTGATAGGAGCTCTGGTGGTCGTACGGTGCTGTGAGAGCTGTACCGGACCTGAAGCATTGGAGACACCCGCGCTACCAGGCGACGATCCAGAAGGCATCCTTCTGACGACAATCTCCCACCGCATTGTCTCGCCGTCGGCGCTTGGCACACAGACCGTCTCGACCTGAAACTCGTCCTTGGAATCCCTTGGCACTAGCGCAGGCGATCGTGGCGGTGTCGTTGCGATGGAGAATGAGGTCGAAGAAAAGCTATCCTTGCGAGGTGAGACGACGCGCTCAGCCCGCGTGATCACGGCGTCCTCGACGCTAGATAGCTGCTCCTCGCTGTCTTCGTCCGCCTCGGCGCCCGATGTCGAGTATTTGTGCTCCTCGGAGTCGTCACTTGTCCGCTGTCTGAGGTGTGGGAGCTGAACCGGCTCCGCAGTACGGGATAGCAGGGGTACGGGTTTTCTCTTGGTGTTCCTCTCTTCGATCGGCCTAACTGGGCCGAGTGCAAATTCTCGAGTATGAGGGTCGAAGGTCGAGCTCGGCTTACGGGATAACCATTCGGCGCTGCTCGGGCTGGCCCGGCTCCCAGAGGGAGAAGCAGGTCGGAACGACGGACCTTGCCCTTCACCGGCCGAGGAGTATACATCAACCGAGTCTTGTTGCGCAGGCTGGCGTGGCGAGAGACAACCCGCCTCGACGCCTCTGGGGGGCCAGGCAAAAGGAACTGGCGATTGTCCCGATCGACGGCTCGCGACAGTGGGTCTCCTCACTGGAGGGGATAACGGGGTCGGGTACAAGTTGATCTGACTAGTACCATTGTAGGAACCGCTCCTGGTCTGTGCCAAGGGCGTCCCAGGCATCTGAGCCAGCTGTGTACGTTCGGGCGTGACAGGCCGTTGAATCGGCGCAGTGTTGGGTACGCCTGTAGATGGTACCCGTGAAGCGAGCCTGAATACGCCCTCTTTATCCTCCAGCGGGCTTGACGAGAAGCTCGGTTTGTCCCCTGCGGTAAACGAGCTCGAACGCAATTTGAGCCCTTGGTCCAGGCTTGTGGACCGGAATTCCCTCAGAACCGGGTCGTCCGCCTCGGAGCCCGTCCGTAGCCGGCCAAACTCTTGCAGAATTTCTTCCTGGGAAGCCTTGACCATCGGCCCGATCGGTCCCGAAATGTTCAGCCCTCCCACCGTCGTCGTCCCAGGCTTACTCGAACTAGAGACCCTGTTCCTGAACCCCAACTTGAAGCTCGCCGAACGATTGACGGCCGGCCCGCTGAAAAAGGTGGGATCCTCGTCGATCGAGCCTCTGGGCAAGGTCGAGGCGGTGGTGGAGTTCTGGTCCGGGTCTCTTGCGGAGGTAGAGAACGGATTAGAGAGTATCGACGACCCAGATCCCAATCTGCGGGTCCTCCCTGCGGGTTCCGCCTCCTGCCCGACTCCTCCTGTAGCTGTCCCTCCAGCATTATTACTCGTACCCCCGGACCCACCGGGAACCAAGCCGGCAAACCAACCCGCCCGGCGTTTCTCCCCATTCAGATTCCCGTTCTCTGACAACCCCCTGGGCTTAGATCGAGCGTGCGGCGAAGGAGGAGGCATGGCAGACGATCCCCTCGGCGCCACGGAGAGTGAGAGATGGTGAGTATGCGAGTGCGTTTGGGCGTTCGCCGGGTGATGGTGATCTGGGAACGAGCGAGAAGGAGAGGCTGAACGGGGAAACGAACTCGGGTTCGAACCTGATCCCATATTCATTTCCCGTGATCCGGGTATTGAAAAAGTCGTTTGTGCCGGCTGATGCGAGGAGGTAGAAGAAGGGATTCCTTCTGTGATACTCGTCATCCTCCTCCCATGTCCAATACCACCTCCGGATCCCGGATCGTCCGTACCGGCATTCCCTTGCACATCCTGCCCGTGGCCTGGTCTCGTCGGCGACCCACTCCCGCCCGCTCCAGCACCGGTAGATGACCCGGCAGTGACGGAAGAAAACCTCGACTTTTTCCCTCGAGACCAAGACCCACTCGAACCGAACCTGCTGGGAGGAGGCGGAGGGTTTGCATACGTGTTCTGACTGGAATTCTGGTTTGGATTGCTATGCGTAGCAGTATTGTCAAACGAGCTCGTACTAGGTGAACCAGAGCGGACGATCCCGTGAGACTGGGGATTCGTCGGGTCTACCTGAAGATTGGTAGAAGTTGGGAACGGCCAAGGAGGTTGCGAGCGAGGTGAAGGAGGTGTGATTGTCCGGGCCGATGTCGACATCGAAGCCGTTGGCGGCGGTGCTGTACTTTGTTGTGTGTGTGCTTGTTGGTATTGCGAGGGGGATTGTGGTGGAGGGCCTTGACCACCAGGTGGTTGAGCCTGGGTCGAGGACCTGAAGAAAGACAGAGTAGGTGGCATGACTGTTTGCTTATCCCAACCTGTTCCCCTCTGCTTCTTCCTCTTTGGGTCGTCTTTCGTCCTTCTTGCCTCTTATTGTACTCTGCTTGAACTTCGGGAATCGGGTCCGCAGAGCTCGTATTCCAGACGTGAGACCGGCCGAAAATCACTGGGTAACGTTACGTGAACTCGACGAGCCCGAAAGAAGATGGTTCGTTCTGGTCCGACCCGAATGTGGTAGTCGCCGGCTCCGATGGCGATGCCGATATCGGGTCCGAGTAGATGTCAAAGTGGAAGGAAAAAGTGCAGATCCGAGATCAAGGTGGCTCTGACAAAGCAGCCGGTAGAGATTGAGTGGGATGCGGTCGTGTCCGTGTGTGTACAGTGAATGTGGCTTCCGAGCTGTGTTTCCAGAGGATATGTTTGTCGAATCAAGCCAATGAACTGAATCGTGATGAGGTCTTGTCCATATGCATCGTTGGTGTAGCGAACGATCCCCCGCTGTAGCCCGGTCGTTCACCGCAATATTCGCTATTGATTGCTCCAGCAGACCGACTATCCTCTGGTTTGTCCTTCTGGTCCTTCTTGTCCCCTCCTGGGTATCGTGACGTCTGTTCGGATTTGGCCAGCAAATCTAACAGAGAGTTGGTACTGCCAAGTACGGTTGGCAGTACGGCGACCTAGTACGATGAACGATAGCACGTCACGTATCCTATCTCGGGATTGTCTAAGGTGGGTTCGTAGCGATCTCTCGCGGATCCTCTACGGTACCAGTGTCGTCTTGTCGACCTTACGTTCTGGTGGCTATTGTCGCTATAGCACTATAGCCTCTATTCTGATTGTATCGTTGAGATGGTTATGGTCGCGACCGTATTCGATCGACCCAGCCCAGCTCGCCGGATCGGGAGAACAGTAAAGCAAGCCTCGAAGGCTTCGAAGGAGAGCGACGTCGACCCGGAGATGGGTGCGGCCGGCTGGGTGTTGACGGTGGTAATGGTGTCTCGAGGTCTGAACGAGATGATGCGGGACGGATCGAGAGGATCTCGAACGAGTTTCCGAGATGGTAGTGCATGGGAGGCCTGAAAGGTTGTACGTGCGTATGCTTGCGTGTGTGAGAACCGAAACTACCAGATATGGGTGTCACGATCGCTCTTTTGTTGACAAAGTCGGGCCGGGAACGCGGGGGGATCAGGTCAGCAATTCCCACGATACAGTACTCGCCAAGCATCCCATCCCGTAAGATGCGGGCAACAAGTTCCAGGAACCCTCACACGAGGTATCACGTCACGCTCATTCGAGCTGGGGTGGGCCGAGCGTGTCTGGCATTTCTGGACTCCCCGAGCGATCGCGGGATCCGGTCAAGGGTGGTTCGGATGATCGTGATGACATCGAGATTGGCGCGAACGAAGTGACGCTTTTCATTTCGGAAGTATAAAGTGAAGAACAGTGACAAGCCACCGACGTCGAGAGCATGTCCAAGCGAAACGCATCGATTCAGCGACTCGCACTCTGTACAGCGAAGTCGCAGTATCGCAAGAGCCTCGAGGTGCAAGACGAAGACTTCTTGCTACAACTCGCAGCTTGAAGAAGGGTCCTTCTCCTCTTAATCTTGACTGCCGGATCATGATCAAGTGCCGAAACAACTCGCAGCAGAACGGGAGCAATATGGTTAGTCTGGGTTGGCGCAGTTGCAAACGGACATATGACAGACGGATGTCCACTTGTAGGATCTTCCCATCAGTATGCTAACGCTTCAGGCGTTCATCACGGGACATACACAATCATGTACCACCTTAGCGATACTGCCGGCCTACCTGTTTATGTTATTCAAGTTACGTTGCACGAGCAGGCGCGACGCGTTTGACGGTAATCGAGCGCGGCTTGGGGCAATGTTCGACGTAACTTTCCGCAAGCTTTCTCCGACCCCCAAGCGGTTATCGTTCATCAAACTAATTCTCTGGGTACATCCCGCGTTCTATTGTGACTGAAGTGAGCGCTATCAGCGTCGAATCAAGAGAGCTTACGGCGGGTCGCCGCTCATCCATGTGTCGATCTCGCGCTCAGTGAGGCGCGCGTTGCAGCGATATGTTCGACATAGTAGAAGCGCAAACAGTCGCCCGAGAAGCGCAGGAAGTCTTTCGCTCTCGACCCTCCACGATCCGAAGGTATAAGATGCATCGACTCTCAATCTTTTCGTACTCAAGATTCCTACTTGTACGATTTGGCTCACAACCTCGGCAGGACCAATATGGTCAGGATTCGTCTTCGAGCGGCCGGGATTGACAACAACGAGGACGATGCACGGTTGCTACCGATTCGAGCCGGACTTGATTTAAATCGTGAGCATCCCTTCTCGTTCTCTTCTCTCTGTCCTTGCCCCGTCTCTCCTACACCTACACCACACCCGAACAACAAGAAACGACCAGCAAGAGAGACGTCGACCTCGTCCTCACTCCCACCAACCGCAATGATGACACCCATTTCAACTAATCGTATTCACACTGTGCGACTCCTCTCGGGGAGAATGCGCGAATCGAAAATTATTACAACGGTATCTGAGATCTCCCACACACCTGCCTGGACGTTACTCGACCTTCGTGGCTTGACCGAGATTGAGATTTTTTTGATGAGCGGTCGCTGATTGCGGAAATTCTCTCCTTTTTAAAGGTTGTGAGACGGAATGCCGGACGTAATTGCCCGTAAGCCTACCATCTCACCGCTCGCTCCTTGGGGCTTTTGCTATAATCACAGTGCCGTTTATATCGTCACGAATCTCTTGTACGCTCTGTCATATGATTTCCCGTTTACTATCAATCGTTACAATCACCCTTCGTACGCATATGTTTGGCCATGAGATGACACGATGCACGATGTCTCTGCCCAGTCTACCAGAGACAAATCGCAACGCAAATTCAATCCTTTGCTCATACCATGTGAAAGTCATCCTGCCGAAACAACGCAGAGTTACGCAAGTCACGACCTATGTGAACGGGGACAACGACAAGCTGCAAGCTGTCGGCCTGCATCATACCAGCTTCTTTAATCCGTCTTCGCAACCTGGTCAAGATCAAGTCGATCTGAGCTAGAGCTGAATTGAGTGGTTGTTGATTGGCGTCAGATCTGCAGACTTAACTTGAAATTGAATACTTGTTATGACGATTGTTCTTTCAGCCTAGGGCGACCTCGATCAAGTTGTCAAAGTGTGATCTGAACGAAATCGTGATCTAGTCGTATGGAACAGATATCCCAAAGACACCATAGACTCAAGGCTAGACTTTCACTCTCTGTTATCATGTTCCGATCATCCCGTGTCCTCCTCAGCGCTCTGCAGTAAGCACCTGTCGTGTTGGACTACCAAACACTACATCTGACGCCCCTTCCCGTCCCATTGCAGACCCCACCGAGTGACCACCGGTATCACCGGTCTCGCCGTCCACCCCGCTCCTCTCCCTCACCTCCTCCAGACTTACAAATCCACCCTTTCCATCGTCTCCCAACTCCCCAAAGAATCCGTCTACCGTCAAGCCACTCAGGCTCTGTTGGAACAGCGGACAAAGCTCGTCGCATCTGCCAACGAGGACGTAGCGAAGGTGGAGAAGGAGATCGACGAGGGGATGATCGAGCAGGTCATTGAGATGGCCGAGGATGAATTGAAGTTGGCGGGCAAGATGTTGGAGTGGCAGGCGTGAGTCACGGTCTTTCGCAAGATACAAAGATTTCGGTTTTGACAAGCTTGACTGATATTCGAATTACCTTTCTTCGTCCTTGATCCTCCTCTACATCACCTCCTGTTCCCTTGCTTCCATTCGTTCCCGGTTGTTTATGGACTCCGGAACATCACTCCTTATCACCTTCCCACTCGACCTTGAACAGCCACGAACCGCTCCAGATCAAGCCATCTGCGGATCAATGGGAACCTATCGGCCCTGAGCTCGGTCAGGCCTTTGGCGGTCCTCACTAGATGATCGAGTGGACGAGGGAAGAATCGGGTTCAGATGGAAAGAGCAACGATTGATGCAGGACTTGGATGGGGAAGGAGAATGAAGTAGGAGAAGGTGTATAGTCGAGCTATTATGGAATGAATTGAAACAGACAAAAAAGGGTTTCAAGATCCCTCAGCGAACGCCGTTCAGGGGGCGACCCCGGGGATGTCAGACCCAGCCGAACAGCAAGGGTATTGTGCCGCAATGGAGAGGGACTGGACACGCAGACCTGCCGAATTAGATGCGGCCCAGGCGTTCAAACCCTGACTCTTTCGGCAAGCGGTAACGAGACCGAAGAGGTAGACTGTTTTCCCCTGAAAGTCCAAGCTATATGCCAACACATCAAAAGGCTTGATGAACTTGTTCTCACGCTTCCAGTTACTGACTTCACATCTAGTCGACGTCACAATATCGTCAGGGACCCATTTCCGCAAAGCTGCGGATTCACGCTGTTTGCTGCGCAGATCCGCTCGATATGATGGGACAAGCTCTATGGGTCAGTCTTTTCGGAGGTGACAGGATACGTACCCAGTCGGGCTGATTAGTTTCTGCTCGATTAGTGGGACTATTGGTCATGGCTTCTTCTCACTGCGACCAGGTTTCAGACTCTCACCCTCGTCATGGGTTTTGATCCCGCCTTCACTCAACACATGTCCATGTATGCGAAGCCAAGATGCTGTTGAGGCATATGTGCTTGCCCAACGTGGACGCATATCATGACGGAACCCACTTGGGTTGGCACGTCAAACTGGAAGGCGATCCGACCGACATCGGCATGCAAACCTTTCTGTCGGTGTTGTTGCATACACGCCCCGACCTGGAGAAGATCAGGCTGATTTTCTCCATCATAGAGAATGACAAGGTATACCCAATTTATCGCAAAGTGCACGCAATCAGGCGTAAGAACCCCAAAAGCATCCGCGATATCGCTCATTGCCAGGACTTCATCGATCTCGGGAGAGTCGAATTCATCGTATCGTATGGAACCACGCCAATGATCCCGGCGATCACGAATGAATGTCGCTCCCGTGGCCCCGACTGCGACTTCGGTTGAGATCAGTTCCGCTACTTTCGCCTAGCAAATTTTGCCGACGATCTCTCCGCTCACCGGCGCATACTTGACGTGACATTTCACGAATCTATACACTACCATTCCCGCATTCCTATCTCGAACTTGACGACCTCTCTCGCAGCATTACGACCATTCACGACACGATCTCAATATGATTTCTTACTTGACTTGCTTGTAGTTCCTGTACTTTATGTGAACGGTCAATCTTATGCAGCTCGCGTACCCCTATACTTGAACATGACCAGACAAGGTCGATCTCCTTGCGAGATCATGCTGGCATGTAACGCATCCTTTATAAGCCTTTCAACACGGTAGCACGGGCGGTTTGACCAGGCTGAAATTATGTCCGGTCACGTTGAATAACAAGACAGCGGGGATATAACGATCATAATAAAGCATCCATTCCCAATGCAAGATGAATTCATGTGCGCGTGAACTATCATCAAGCTGAACGTGATCCTAAGCTGTGCCAAGTATGCATGTGATGTAGTTAGCTACGACAAAGAGGCTAGTCTAGTTCGGCAACTTGGCCCCCTCTCCGATATTCTCTTTCGAGATGAAATCGAGATTCTTGGTCCCGCACTTGAGAACGGTCCGGTTCTCGTCCGGCAAGATCAACCTGTCCAGAGCGTCGGCTACTTCGTCGAGCTGCACAGTGAGGTTCCACATCAGCATCGCAGAACAGAGACGACTGTTACGGATCCAAGGACTTACCTGCTCTCCCTCGACCCAGTTCCACTGCTTCCAAACATCCTCCATCTCGTTCTTGAGCGACTTGACGATCCTCGCTCGGATCTGGCTCGTCAACCCGATCGTACCTCCGGTACCCATCTTGGTGGTTCGGCGAGTCTCGCTATCGTGCGATAGGTTGGGCATGGAGGCGAGTTGCATCTGAAGGAACGCGGGTTGTTGGATTTAGCTCCAGAGGTATCTCAGTCATGACAGGTTTAGCCGTCTCACGGTAACGCTCTTCAGCTCGTCGGACCCAGGTTTCTTGTTCTTCCCAGCAGGCGCATCATCCACATCCTCGTCATCCTCCGACCCGGAGAAATCGTCGCCCCCACGACGTTTCCGACGAGCTTCTTCGTTCCGCTTCTTCTTGTCCAGGTCGTCCAAATATCCGAGCTCAGGACGGAGTTGAACGAGCTTGTTGATGGGGTGGACGTGTAGAGCGTCTGCACGGATAGGTAGAGGGTTAGACGGTGAAGAGGGGATTGAGCAAATCAGAAATCAAAGCGCTTACTATCATGCACGATCCCACTCCAATAACCCGTCACATGCGGGACTTCTTCGCTCCTCAACCTCATCTTACTTCCCCACCCTTCCTGCCCCGACTTCATCTTCTTCTTGTCGTCCTTGCTGCCTAATCCGCCTTTTCCGCCCTGAAAACCCATCTCCTCCGCCTTTTCCTCGTCCCAGACGTCTTCCCTCATGTCCACAGGGACTTCGAGTTCGAACCTCTCGACAGCCTCTTTCATCCTGGCGGTGATTGTTTGCCCCTTAGACTGAGCGTAGGGGGAGAGGGTGATCGGCCGGTGATGCAGGGGGTATTGGAAAAGCTGCAAAGTAGGAGCTAGCTGGGCAGAAAGGTAAATGGGGAGAGTATAGGCGATGGAATCCGAGGGATCTTCTTCTTGTAGAGAAGCGAGAAAGTCTGGAGAGAGATTGTGATGCGGATCGGCGTTGATGTCGAACGGAGCTTGTGGGGTGAAAGATGGACCAGAATCGACGTCCATCCCGGTTCCGACATCCTGCTGGGGCTGAGAAGGACCCGCCTGGGGTTCGGTGTCTACCTCCATGATCGGCTCTAATGCTAGTCTCCTTGGTGGTGGCTCGTGATCTCCTTCACTGGCTTGCAGATTCGGAGGAGGACTAGCTTGTCGTAAAAGTTCTTGGATCTCCTGTCGATCGACGTCCCGTTTCTTGCTCGGGCTAGTGAGCGTCCTGTCCACCTGTCCTACAGCCAACGAAGATTTTCCCGGGGTCGATTTGATTCTTTTGATAGAGGGGCTACCTAAGACGTCCTTGTGTCGAGGAGTCTTCGGTGTCGAGTGTTTTCTCGAGGGAGAAGGCGTGTGTAGATGTGTCGAATTGCAACAACGGCAACGCCAGATGTATTGCGATTGCGGGGTCGTCGGCGGGTCCTGTTGAGTATGAGTTGGGGTCTTGGGCAATTCAGTGGCTGCCTCTTTGTTCTTTCTAGGCGTCTGCATCTATCGTTGGGACGGGTAGGGGAAGACTATGTCGATAGTATATAATAGTTAGTAGCAGTCTCTGTGAATATCAAAGAGCAAGGTTTGAGCAAAATTCATGACTTCGGACTTGAGCGAAAGGGGAGCGAAAAGGGGTCAGGAATCGATCGTTACAACCCTCTACATGCTCACACCTACCTACACAGCTACACATCCCATCTGTACAAAAGACAATACAGGGATTAAAAGGCCTCAAGCAGTCCCAGTAGCACGGTATCATAGACCCTCAAACATGCCAGCACCGCCATCGCCGTTTCATGTCTTGCGGCATCATCAGTCCCCCTTGCATCACCTTGCCTTTTCTCATTCGAACGACCTGCTGTACTCGGGCGACGAAGATGGAAATATCGCCATTACCGACTTGAAACTCAAGAGGGTCATCTCTTCATGGAAAGCACACGGAGAAGGAGTTCTTGGCGTCGGTGAATGGGATGGAGGACTTGTTAGGTAAGTCGACACGCAGCCATTTGATATTCGCCTGCGAGCTGATAAAGGGAAACCTTGGACCCGTCTCTGATACCTTGTTCAAAAAGCAAAGTCAAGGCCGTGACAATGTGATACACTTTCACTCGCCCTTGGAGACCGGGTCGACATCAGCATCGGCCTCATCATCCACCTCTCCTCCGGCGGAACCGTCACAACCGGAACCGTCAACAAGCTCCAAGCCCACAGTCACTACCGTCTCTGCCATCCCGACCATCACTCCTCTTCTACCTCCTCCAAGAATGCTAGATTCCCTACCTACCAACTCTCTGAACTTTTGCAAATTTGCGTTGGTGGAGATCCCGGAAGAGCTCGGTTTGACGGGGGAGAAGATGAAGACGATGAGCAGGAAGAGACGTAGACCGGACGGATGTCCCGGATTAGGGAGCGGGAGACAGGGCCTATTGGCCGTTCCGAACTTGATGGACTCGGATTCGGTGAGTTCTGGTGTCAGGGTTCATCATGGTGCGCCCGCTGATCTAGCGCTTTGAAATCAGGTCGACATCTACCACCTCCCAACCCTTACCCGTCTTCATGCAGCCTTCACGCACGACCCGATCCCCACCATCTCTACCCCAGGAACCGAAGGGCAGAACCGCAATGCTTTGATCATGGGCATCCATCTATACTTTCACCAAGATAAATTGCGTACGGTACTGGCCTTCGAGGACGGACGGGTAGAAGTCTGGGAATGTGACCAGTGGGACCTGGAGACCGATATCAGGCTACAGAAGGGAAAGGAGGGGGTGTGGCGATGTCTATGGAGGGAAAAGGGACACAACGAGGCCAGTAAGTCTCGCAACGTACTCGGATCGGATTGGGGTCGGTGTTGACAAGTGGTTGGGAAGTCATGGCAATGAGTGTCTCGCCAAAGTTGGATTTTGCGTTTACGGTTTCTGCGGATCACCAGCTTGTTCGCTACAACCTTGAAGTAAGTCAGCTCGATTCAAGCAGACGGAAAGCTTGGCTGACAACCCCTCATGTCGTTGTGTTCAGAATGATCAAGGCGATGTTACCACACGCATGAAAAAGCATGCAACAAAGCAGATCGGGAATGCTGATGTCAAGGTCGACTCTACCGGAAAGATCGTCGCTGTAGCCGGATGGGACGGGAGGTGTGTCCTGGTCGACCATTGATCGAATTTATCCGTTATGCTGATCTCATTGGAAACGCGCTTGCTTAGTATACGCCTGTTCTCGGTCAAGTCTTTCAAATCGCTAGGAACGCTGGCTTATCATCGAGACATGTGCAATACGCTCGTATTTCCCTTCAACGAGACTGGAGACCGGCGTGAAGGGGAAGAAGACAGCGAAGACGAAGAGTACGGGACGAGTTCGGTTGGGAGAGCGAGGAAGAAAACTGAGGGGTGGTTGGTCAGCGGTGGAAAGGATAGGAGGATCGCGATTTGGCAGCTCAAAGACTTTACTAGGCGATGACGAAAATCGACGTGGGCCAGAATGGAGCGATGGCCAATCCCTAAGCTGTACTGCAGATACGACAATTCCTCGTTATCGAAACCTTGTTTACAACACTGCTTTCGATTTGAGTAGTCTAAATCTACATATATACAGACTCCTTTAGCGAGATCGGTTGAAAGCTAGAGGACGGCTTCGATTGAAGCATCTTCGCATGACCGGGCTGGCAAAAGGGGCTAGTATGAAAGATAACTCTGTGACTAGAGTGTCGAGAACGACTCTAGTTGAGAGAGATCGACTTCCATTGTCTTGAGGAGAAAAGAGCTCGTTCCAGTTTCATCAATTATCAAAGTCTGATCGTAGCCCTCTCTCTCCGTGATCATCTCGGTCACATCGATGAGGCCCTCTAGCGTCTCTGCCGGTCTCAGATCACAACTGATTTGATGCGAGTGTGTTCCTGGGACACGATGGTGGAGGTAGGTCCCTCGTGGAAGATTCTGATCCCACCAGAAGGTCAGAGACACTTCAAGTCTGGGCCGCCCCGAGGGATCGCGGAACACCTTGATGACATTTCCAAACTCGAAGCAAATCCCGAGGAATTTGGAGCCATCTACCTGCCTGTCCAACACAATACCGAGACTCTCTATGAGGCGTCGCGGCCCATCAGGTCTGTCGTCCCTCCATCCCGTCGCGAGTATCTCTTCCTGTTGCTCGACAGTCTTTCGCTGCCAAGCGGCAAGAGAGGCGTTCAGCAATGCCAAGCAGATCCTTGACCCCACTTCATCCCTGTCCTCCGCCAATCTCCTTGCGATCGACTGGTCAGGCGATCCTTCCATGTCGTCGCCTGGCTCAGTTTTTATGGTGCCATCGTCCCTTTCTTCCGGTTTGATGGGAATCATCTGATAGTGGACCATCTTGAGCTAGTTCAGGATCTCTTCTCCTTCTGTGTCTGGTTTTTCCTTTGCAATGTGATTTATGGACGTGCAGTCTAGTCGAAAGATAACGAAGCAAGACTTGCCTTATATGGTTATCACATCACCTGAGTATTTCGTCGGCAGCGATGTCGCAATGATCGGAGATCGAGTTCCTTTTGTGGAGGGGACTGAAGGCGTTTCAGGCCTGGACCTGGCTGGGTCTACAGGATTAACCGTGTTTTATCCCTGACCAAATCCTGTGGAAACCGATTCAAAGCTGCATGACGATACGATCATGAGCTGAAATCATGGTAAAGCTGTGACAGGGGTTTCCTCCCCCGTCCTTTGCGCTACACGGTCTAACGATGGTCTACTTATCATCTGGGTTTTTCCTTGAGCGGCGAGAAACCTCGATGCCCCGCTGCTTCCTTGCCAACCGGCAATGACGGGTGGCGTCAATGGCGCGTGTCGGTTTGGGCCCATCAAAGGACGAGTGTTTCAGGTCTAGATTTCGGCAAAGCGGCAAAAGCCGGTGAAGAGGGCCAGAAATTGGTGAACACACCTCACATTCTCAGAGTAATAAACGCGAAATGGATCTCGATTGACAACGACTAAGAACGGACGAGATAGCGAGCAGCTCGAACCGACGGTACTATCTGGATCACAATAATCGAAACTCAGTGCCTTCCGAGATACTGGTCACCTCCGCGGAGGAACCCCACATGGTCGACGCGGTGTTCCTGTCGATCGGCGCAGTACTGACGATCGAGCCGTTCAGGTCAGCCTCACCAATGCTTCCGCTACACTCCTGTCGAAACCACATATCGTTGACGAAGGTTTGGCTTATTTGATCCTTGTTGCGGGTGATCGGAAGTTCTACCAGATAGCTGTACTGTTCTGTAGTCACAGAATCTTCCTTAGGTTGCCACCAGGCTTGCAGCTGGAGATTTCCGGTGTAGACAGTCCTGCTACCGGGGCTCGATGGAGGACCGGTAAACGTCATGGTCCCACGCCACGAGACGAAATTTTCCGTCTTGGCAAGCGCATTGATCAATCCTAGAACGGGTGTAAGTTCCTTCCACCCCTCTAACCATTGAGTTGTCTTTGTGTCGAAATCGAACTGGCCGTGCTGGTTCTGATACTTTTTTTGGACATGGTGTCGCCACTCTCTCAACAATTGCGCGATTATACCCTGGCAAACTGTTTTGACTGTTGTCATACTCGTGGATGCAGAGGAGGCGTTTGTAAATGGGTTGGCCCGATGTCGAGATAGATAAGGATGGATGTGAATTGGGGCATAGAGGAACCCGGAACAATTAGGCACTCATACACACCGAGATAGCCATATATATATGCTTCCTCGCCTTTCATGAGTTCCCTTGTTCCTAGACAACGACACCTTATCCCTCACAACATCGCACGCGACTGCCAGCTCCTCCTTTCATCCCTCACCACCGAGAAAATGGCCTTGCCCGCCCCCTTTGCCTTCCCCTTATCCGGTGACCAATGATATAAGGCAAGATAAGCATCGTTCACCTGACACTTCTAGCAGATCCGGACGGTGTGCTGCATACCGAAGGTTCTCGGCGGAGTAGCCCTATCGAGGTTCTCAACCGGTTTCGTTCACTACGTCAGCTGATATCAAGGAAGTGGGACATGTCGTCATCAGCTGCTCTGTACACCTTGGCTGCCTTTGGGGCTCGTATGGTGTCATCAATATAGTTCGTGAGAACCAAGATGCCGAGTCGACAGTAAGGCAAAGTGTATCCTTCCTTTCACTAAGTCTCGTGGGCAGTTGCGGTCAATCGTTGTAGGACCCGTTCATCGCGTAGACAGAGGTGCCAATCGAGTGAGCTTCAGCCAATACGGAAGCTCTATGGCTCCCGGTAGACCCAGAGCCCCTTGTATGCAGATCACTAGCAAACGACCTTTTACTTTTTGGGCGTTTACCACAGTATTCCAGAATGTTCTATAACGTTTTTTTCCAGCTTTACTGTATGTGCTCGATGCAAAAGCCAGAACCGTTGTCGCAGTCCACATGTTTTGAAATGCTTCGACAGCTTGATCTCGAAATCTACTATCCGTATATCTACAAGGCTTGAGCAGTAGCAGTGACATCTATCTTTGAAGAACCAGAACAAAAATGAAAGGCTCAGAGAGTTTAGTCTGCGATTTCGACCGAAGGCATGCTAGATGTATTCTGAACGGGTTCGTGACTTTGGGAGAATTCATGAATGACAAACGAAGAATCATGCGACTCTCTCTTCGAAGTCACATCTGTGCTACCGATGGACGCAATGGATAGCGATTCCTTGCCTGCCTGGGTGGGACCGATATATTCCGTACGGCCGAGAGTATGATGGGTATGAAACGTTTGGGTCAACGGTATGTTTTGCTCTCGAATGCGTGCAGAACGTCTGAGAGCGATCGGCTTCTCCCATGCCAGTATGACGACGATCCTCAAGCGATGTGTTTTCGTGAGCTGCTTATTGAGACTCACTCTGTCCAAGTGAGCTCGCGCACCGATGACTCGTTCAAGTTCCGCTTTCTGATCATCGTGTTTGTCACTAAGACCCATTAGATGAACGACCGTACCTTCAGGGAAACATCTTTCGAAATGCTGGCGCAAATCGCTCCCTCCCTTCGCCATCGCTTCTGTCCGCTCCTTAGCACACAAGTTGTACCACCTTTCCAGTAGATCCAGACGGAATTCCATGAATACCTCCTCCCCCACCTTGTCTTGGGCGTCTGAATATTCTTCAGGAGTCATCCCTTGTATGGGTATTGAATGTGCGAAGAGACGGGCTTCGATATGATGGCTTTTGCTGACCTGATATTGTTTTTAAGCGACTCGGGAACAGCATTCATGGGCCGGAGCGGGCTATATACAGGACTTCAGGGCGTTTGTGAACGATTCGTAGCATTTTACTACTCTGTATTTTCCCTTGATGTTAAGGGGTACCCCGTTCGTTCCCTGAAGGAGCGGCGCTGCGCGTGGCCTAGACAGTACTCCCGGACCCTGAAACACTTGTGCGATAGCAGGATAGCTTCCGCTCACGTGATGGCTCGCGCTGCTCGCCAGCCCCTGTGTTCTGTCGTTTTTTGTCGATAGAGAGAAGGACCGATACTAGCTGTCCCATCGATTCCGGTCAAAGATGACCTCGTCTAGCTGAATGTCGTTTGGTCAGGCGATCTTGGCTACTCAGGCGTTACGTCATCTTGCGCGGCTCCTTCCATTGTCCTATCGAGCGCTGCTACAGGCGTGCTGTACTAGGCAGCTGCTTCGATCAAAATCGTGTCATCATCGGCCCATCTTCGAGTGAGTTTGAGGATTATCAATCCAGATTCGTCGATCAGCCCCCTATAACAACAAGTATTCGCTTTCTCCATTCTGTGCACACTCGGCGAGCGGTCAAAACTTGCGCATAAACCAGGAAACAAGGAGAAGCTGGACATCCGATGAGTACCTTCCGGATGGCTCAAATCTATCAGCTAGCCGGTCAGAAAAGGGAGTTCTAACATTACTCTTCATTCTAAGATCAGCAGGTAGCCGACAGTGTGCAAAGAACTAGTAAGACGCCCGAGACGATTCCAAGCTGGAAATGTACCAGTGATACCACTCTTCGCTGTGGTGCGAAAGCGCGAGCGGCGCCGCAGCAGCTTCGGGTCGATGCTCAGAAAAGCCCATCGGTCCCGCCTCCATGAGATGGCTCCTTCGACACTCACGTCGTCAACACGACTACAAAACCGAGGGACCTGATCGCATGGATAATCCAAGGTCTCACCAGGTAGCTATTCAAGTTCGATTGATCATAGCTGGCGGGTGCATTGACATTTAGCCGACCGTGTATACAACTCCTGTCTTCAACAATATTAGCTAGCAGAAGGAGAGGCGACTAATCGTCGATGGTGATGGTTCGGCATCCGAGATGGACACGCTGTGACCAAGGTCAAAGCGGCTGCAACTATCAACCTCCAGTTGCCACGATATTAGATCCCGCTTCGATAAGCCTGAACAGCTGGGCGCTATGACTCTGGTCGAGCTGATCGGTCGATCTGCTATGGCGTGACAGACACTGATGGTCCACTCCCTAGTATAGTTGCCCTCAAGGATTTGGGAAAGCTCTGTCTTTGCTGGAAGTACTATGATACGCTCATATGTCTCTTTGTCCTCGCTTGGATTCTCTTTGCACCCGCCGGGATTGTTCTCGTGCCACACTGGTAGTTTCCATTGTAATGTAAGCAAAAGACGAAGCACGTGACCTTTCCTAGCGTTCGGGCTCGCACGCCTTGTAGACAACTGATCCAGCACGTCCAGCTTTCGTGTACATACGCCAAGTTCTTCGATGTAGGGTAAGGGATCTGGGTAGCGCTTGCGAACAATCTCTTTGATGCCCTGGCTGCAATCTCTCTCCTCCGAGACCTCGAAAGTGCCTTTCTTTCGTATGAAATCATGGAAGCGATCCGTCACGTAAACCAACATGTGAGCAGCTACCGCATCCGCAATAGCTTCTCCAGTCTGACGACGGGTCTCCGCTCTGAAACTATCTCGTCTCGGTATGGGCATATTCGTAACGGAAGTGTTTCGCCTTGACTTGAGAATGGCGTTGCTGATGATCGATACTGTGAGTTCCAGTTTAGATTCAACGAAAGGGCAGAGATAGCCTTGCTTCCATGAATGGCATCCTATATGCCAGCATTCGGTGGTAGGGTTACTAAGGAGAAGGACCTCCTTTCATGATCGCCCAGGCAAATGTCCTAACGGTAGTCACGCGTCAAGTGAACGTTTTGGCCACAGTCGAGGTACATTGGGGACCGAGGCTATTCACATTACTTATCTCCGCTTGAGATGATAGACAGGGAAACTCATACCTCACCGCCTGACTGGTTCGAGTAGAGTGTATTGATATCACATGGACCGATAGCTCGAAAAAGGAGAGCCCTTGTTGCTGGATGGGATCAGGCTCCATCGTATCCGTATTCGCAGCAGTTAAGCTGCATCTACATTTATGTATGAGGTAATTTTTCGATATCTCATGAACGAATGGCCACTGTACCACTCCTGAATCGGAATCTCTCGGGTGGAACAAATCGGACACGATTCTAGACATCTTACGGCTACAACAGTACCATACAAGAGCGGCGTATTGGGGTCAAAGAATCGTCATTATCTCTGGATCCGGGCTGAGGCACCTTGATGACCTGTGAAGGGTCAGATTTGCCCGGAAGGAGCAGTTTCGACAGTGGAGCCGGTACTTCCTGATTGGGCGGTAATATTTGACCCGGGAGCAGAGCGAGTCGTCGGGGCGATACTGATTCCTTTAGGCTTGACGTAGGAAAACGACGTGAAAGAGAATCCAGTTTCTTCGCTACCGTCGTCGTGAGTAGTGTACTCTGCGTCGCTGTACCAGAATTGATAACGGCCTCCATCGATCCATCTAGACGGAAGATACAAAGTTTCCTTGTGACAGATTTCGACCGTCGGACGGTCGCTCTGACCTTGATTGGCCTCGCGTGTGTAGCTGATTTCAATGATAGGCTGGTACGCAATCCTTCCGTCGTTCAGGTTCACAAACCTGTAAGGTACACCATCTCCACCGAAATCGAGGTGGAACTTTGGTCGTGGGATGTTATCGCTTCCCAATCCTGAGATTCTGCTGAAAATTTCGCGCAGTTCTCTGGGTCCGGCAACATCGTTCCACTTCTTGGTCCACCATAACAAGTCTTGGTCCTCAACCACATGACCGCGACGCCTTTCCGAGCCGAGTGCCGCCGACGGATGGGTAACGGTATGCTCCCAGTCAGATCGGATTTCGATCGCCAACTGGTCAGCGCAATGCTTGACGATCCGTTGCTGCCGAGCAAGGATCTTGTTCTCCAGTAAACTCTGGGCGGATGTGCTGTTGTCTGGTTGAGCCATGGTCTTCGTTGTTTGTGGTAAGTTTGTGCAAGTGTATAATTCAGGATGAGCGGATGTGACCTGCCACCGTTCAGAGCTTCAGTATAATCAAGTGGTTCGCCCATTGTGTTTGTTATATAGGGTTTTAGTCCTCATCTTCCTTTCATCTCAGCGACGCCTTCAACAACGAGAGGTCACGAGCCACTACAAAGATCACGGAGAAGCACCTTGTACCGGCCGATGCTGACACAGTCGGCCTGATTCCTTTGTTCCACCAAGGCGGCATCAGGCTGCCATCCGCTGACCACCTGCTGATCCAATCATTGCGCCAATACACAGAAAGACCATATGTGCAAGACTCGTCATGGATGATGAAGTACTAATGTCGTTCCTCTTCGCAATCTACGGGTTGTGTCATTGCACTGTGCATCATCATCTCCCTCAGGTAGTTCCAAAAGCCTCACCCCTGCCAATTGCACCGGATACTGCCAAATTGTATGCAAGCTCTCTTTCCGTTGGGATACATCACGCCTCGAACGTCGCAAATCCACCGCAAGACGATGATGGGGACTGACGAAAGATCGCCCACATCACGCCATTTCCTTTACCCCTTGCCGCTGGGGGCTGAAACCGAAACGTGAGCGTCTTTCCTTTGTCTTACGTAAGGCGGTGGAAGCAATTGTCAGCTGACCAGTCATGGCCGAAACCTATTTGTGTAATTTGTGTACCCTTGTGACCGATCTACCGAAGAGCCCTCGCATCTCATACGGCTGTCCTAGCTGTATCCGCTGACAGGACACAGGGTCTTCCCATCTGTTCCACCGTTTCGAGACTGGGGTGGACAACGACCGCCGTTTGTCGCTGGCGTGCCCTCCCCCTTGATCTCTACTCGATCGCGTTTCAGGTTTTTCGGCGTCGCCCGATCAGTAAACAAACCGCGTTCCCAACAGAGATGCACAATCCTAACTCCCTTTCATCGACCCTCAGCTTCTAGCTACACCACATGCTACCTTTCTAGACTAGCGTAGAACGACACAGTCCTCTCACCATGGATCATCGACCCGAAGCTATTGTCACATCGCTCGAACCCGCAGCTCGACCTCCTTTGAGCAAGACACGTACGACAGACCGGCAATCCAGCTTTTCACCATCGACTTGCAGTCAAGAGGAACAACAGGTAAAGGTCTCTCTCCGGTTCAAAAGCTGGAACCCAGCTTATCATCAGTTCTTTTGATCAGCTTTTCGTTGTGAAGGAGTACTCGCTGGTCGGTCACAACACGGCTCTTGGTCCTCTCGAGCGTCTCGCCAGATTCAGTGAGCGGAGTTGAAGCTTGCTAGCAATCGGTCTCTGACGTCTGAACATTACAGGTCTTGATCGTCATGAATACATCGTGGCCACCTATAGCCAGATTGGTCAATCAGATCAGGCCGGTAAGAAGCTCGAACGTATTATGCTCCGGGCGATCCGAGTTGAGCTTGACGTCAATCATAGAATCGTACGTAATTCACCACCCTCCGGACACCCCAGAATCGCATGTCATTTCTTGGAGGCTGGATGAAGGTGAGAATGTTAGAATGCGGTGTTCAATCAGAGTCTCGTGCTGAAACTGGAACAGGCTGCAGGTTCGTCCAGACTCTGGACTTCGACCGAAAAGTCCCTCCTTTCGCCCTTTTCGAGACTTCGATCGAGGGTGGATATCCCGATGAAGTAGTCAGTCCCACAGAGTCAAGATATTACTCGTAATTTGCTGTGCTGAATGTCTTGTTCCTCATCATCAAAGGTCTACACCGTCGTACCCTTCTCACAAACCGTCAAGACCCGTCAACCGGTCGATACCAGCCACTACTTCCCCCTTACCCAGATCTTCGGTAAATCCAGCACCCCATCTGTACTATCTTACCTCCCTCTTCAGTTCCCTCCCCGTCAGTACGACAGAAGGATACGACACGGACTTGCTGGAAGGATCCGAACGGCAAGAGCGGACATACCCGTCTTTTACACTCTAGGGACGAGCTTAGGAATCCGTGGGAGGAGGTGTGAGATTTGGACGTATTTGATCAAGTTGGAAAAGGGAGAAGTACAAGCTTATCACCATAATGTAAGTCTAATTTCGATAGTCGATCCTATCCTGATGGCTGAAAGAGGTCGGGCGACAGTCCTTAGAGGTACCTGCGAACGCGTCTAGATGTATCTGCACACCGAGTCTCTTCGGGGTAGTTACTCCCGACCGAATTATCTTATGGCAACTGTGAGTCCCATCGTCAACATCTGGTTTCATCTCTTTCGGACGATTGGTGATGTTGACACGGCGGCGCAGGGAAAATATGGCTCATCTGCCATTGCAAAGCCCGATGCATCGGTTCGAGGTGGTTTGCGAGACGAAGGGTCTGGTAGAAATTTATCAGGTCAACCAGGTTAGCGGGATTGTCATGTGCGAAAAGGCTTCTTGGCTGAGTAATTTCGTGATAGAATCTGCTTATATTCGCTTTCCAAGGTGAATGTGAGAAGTGGGGCATCGGAAGTCGAGCGAAGCTAAGATGGCTCAATTCCGTCGATAGATCGATTGGCCCGATACCATTTGGCCGAGAAACAACTTGTAAGCAGGTTGATGCGGAGTACAGTCAGGCGGCTCTAACAATAACCACGACCATAGGAAGAGCAATACGCGATCCAACTGCCGAAGAAACCCAGTGACATCTTCTTCCTCCATACGTACACCTTTCTCGTCCACCCGGAACAGATCGTCATCCTGGACCTCTCGACAGGTCTCGAAGTCCAAGTGATCCGAAATCCCGTGCCAGAAGGAGAATTCAGGGTACTCGCTCGGCCTAGTAAAGGCATCTCGGGCAGGTATCAAGGACAGCCGGGGGCGATTTTGCAAGCGGGAAGAGAAGCCGCTCGGCTGATTTGGTGGGTACAGGACGATCCCGCGCGGAAGGAATGGAAGTTTGGGGCTGACTGATCGCCGTTTCGATCAGCTACAAACTCGAATTCACTGGACATCGATCGTCTGGAGTATCAGTGGCATGCCTCTCGCTGTGAGCGCAAGGTGACCAGATCATATATTCCAGAGTGATAATCAGCGAGCACGTTGTACAGTCATGCAACCACCTTATACCCTAGTGACGGAAGGGACCCTTTGGATCGATTGTCGCGTGTCGGTTAAGCGAACAATAGAGTTCGACGCGGTGAAACCAGAAAAGCGAAATGACGTAATTGATGATGATCGCGTTTCCCCGTCCCGCTCGTGCCGAAGGGTGCTTTTTCTGATCCCAAAGGATGTTTGAGGTTGGAACTGTCTGCCAACGCGAGTCCTACTCCGAGTGAGTTGCAAAGCTGTCTTCCGATCTTCCTTTGTCCTCGATCTCTCTTATCTATATAATACTGGTAGCGAGGAGTCTGGCGAATGATCGCCTCCTTCGAGCTCGTTGGCGGATTTCTAGACTCGTCCGCGTATCGATAGCAGCGCTCAACAGCAACCATGTTCGCACCAGGGATGATGGGACCGGGAATGATGAACCCGATGATGGGAGGGATGATGGGTGGAATGATGCCGGGCATGTCGGGGCCTGGGATGCCGTTTGGTCATTTCAACCCTCGACAGATGCCTGGATGGTTCGGTCGAGATATGCTAGGTGAGCGTCGTCCTAGACAGATCCTGTGAGATAACGCTGAAATCAGGATCGAGGTCCGCAGGACGCGAATTCTCGGGACCAGGAGGAACAGGTGAGTCGTCAATGATCCATGACAGAACCACTATCGTGCGCGTACTCCAGCTGAGAGAAATCTTATGATATGACAGGTCATTCGACAGTGAGTAATCGTGAAGCTCTTCCATACATAAGCTTGGTACTGACTCCACTGTTTCTAGCCGTATCGACCCCCAGATCCAGCAGTTCTACCCCCCATGCCAAGCGGACTCCCGATTATGGCTCGGCGTAAGCACTTCTCATCCTAGCTTTGCAAAGCACAGAAAGTCTACAACTCGATTTCGTCTATCAGCTCCGAAACAAGGTTTTGACGCCTATGGCCGCCAGATCCCACCGCCTCTCCCCGCAGGTCAGCCTTTTCATTTTCATCATTCTAATGAACATGCAGCTGATGTATGTTCCTCGCGATGATACATGCAGGTATCGATGGCTGGGGTAGACCGATCCCAGGACCCGACGGACAGTTTCAGTTCCGACCGCCGGGGATGATGGGCATGCCAGGAGTGCCAGGGATGCAAGGTCCGGGACAACCTCCTGCAGCTCCAGAACCTCCTGCTCCAACACCCGCGCCTGCTGCGGCTGAACAGCCCGAGAGAGAGACGGCGGCGGATATTGGTGTGACTAGCGATTCTGGACGACCTGAAGAGTGAGTGGCGATTGTAGAGATTCTCACGTGGTCGCACCCAAACCGCATTTGCTGATGAAGCCAATTCTACCCAGACCCCCCATGTTCCATCGGTCGCCCGTGACTGACTCTCACAACGACTTCCGAGACTTTACCCCCTTCTCCTTCCCCTCTTATGCTCTCGCCCGAATTCATCGACTGCGAAGACCGCCGGAGCTGAAACATTGTGATGTGCGGTCGGATGAATGGGCGTATTTTATCGAAGCGCTTGAACAGGAGGCGTATCGGTATGCGGACAAGTCGCATCTATCGACTTACGGCACTTATAGCCAGGACGATTTACCGTTATTGACCGAGGATGTACATCAGCTCCTGAGGTATGTGCCAAGCTTACTTGCCTCATTATCGGTCGTCCGCTAATCATAACATACATCGCGCTTTGGTAGAGCCTGGCAAGTCGGCTATTTTGGCCCTCGAGGTGTCCAGATCTACCCAGCGAAGAACGGTAAACGCCTCTTCGCCCCCGGACTCCCTGTCTCCGGTCATCGCGGGTACGGTAACAACCCTGCGCTAACAATCACAGACGATGACGACGACAGCGTCTTTTCCGACGACACCTACGATCCGAGGGAAGAAGCACAGTATTCAGCCCGGGAGCGCAAGTACCGGCGTAGACAAAGGCGGGATAGAAGACGAGAGTTGAGAGAGCGGAAGAAGCGGCAACGACTGGCGACGGACGATTGGGAGGTGCATTTCGCTTGGATGCAGCCGACCGCTTGGAGAGCTGGTATGAAGGTGAGTCTGAGGCGGATGTCCTTAAAGTTACCGTGCCTGACCATACTTGCCTTGACAATGTTGACAGCCGCTCCAATACGGAGAGAAACGACCGGCTATTCCCAGGCCCGACGATTACTAGCGGCTTCCTCGCCTGTAATAGCATAGTAGGAAGATATTGATCATGAAACACGGCTCCTTTTCCATTCCAACGCCCCGGATCGATCCCAATCAAGCACCGTCGCTTCGCCCTGTTTCGATCGTTCTTCATGGTATATACAGTGCGAGCTTAGATGTGCGCATCCCCCTTACAATTATTGATTCGCGCGGCTCGAGATCGTGTCGTTACAATGGCCGTCAGGGCAAAGTCGAAGCGCGAAGATCGTGATCCTATCGGAGTCCTCTAGTTTAGATTGATATCATTCAGTGCACAGCACACGGCCGCTCTATAGAATCAAGATGGCTCGAGTCAGTCGTGTCGATGACTGGTTCGATTCGTCATCATGAACATACCGATGATGACCGCTGTACTGCCGCACAGTCGCTCCACTATGCAGGTCCCACAGTCTCGCCACATGATCCGACGAGGCCGTTACCAGATACGCCGAATCCGCACTAAACGCCGCATCCCAAACCCATCGCTGATGGCCTGACAAGACCCGTTCGAGCTTATAATTGTAGTTTTCCGTCGACCATATCTTGACAGTCGTATCGGCCGAACAGGTCGCCAAGAGTTTCGAATCCGGACTAAGGAGACAACGGGTGAGGTATTTGGGGTGGGCGTTGAACATGGTGACGGGTTGTAAATCGACAAGATCATTGCCTTGTCTGATCTTCCAAACGTAGACGTTCCCCTGCACGTTCATAGCGAGATGATGAGATCCGGTTCGTTTGCGATCAATCGCACGCACCCACCTTGTTGTTTCCTGCCACCAAAGTACCGCCGTCACCCGCTATGCTCACACTCCGAATCGGCACATCTTCCGCTGGGACCTGATTCGCTCGAAACCTCTTTATCAGAACCTAGACGCTCACTTGCATGAAGCGTGACACGCTGGACTTACCAGCTCGTGAGTACAGCTATCTTCTCCTAGATCCCAGATCTTCACGCTCCCGTTCTGGTCACACGATATCAATTCTCCCTGATTCGGATGTACCACGACGTCGTTCACGGCAGAATTGTGCGAGTATTCTCGTTGCGTTCCCGACGTCCTGCAAAGAGCGTCGGTTAAGTGAGAGGTATGTTGATAAGTCTCGAGTTGGGCGTCGAGGCGTACCGCATGTCCCAGATCTTGATGGTGCCATCTTCGCTGCCCGTTGCCAGCCATTTGCCTTCACAGTGGAAAGCCACTGCTGTTACGTTTCCTGTATGGTTTTCCAGAGTAGCGATCTGGTTGACAAGTAAAATTAGCTTCCAGATGTGATCATTCAGATTAGGCGGGGATGCAGCATACCGGATTGTTGCTATTGCGATCCTGAATATCATACAACCTTTCGAAAGACCGATATAAGCAATGGTCAGTTCACGATGATCGGATCCCAGGTACTAGCAGAATTATATCTTACCTAACGGCATTATGACCAGCAGCTGCTAGTATCCGCTTGTCTGGTGAGATCGCTAGACGATTCACTTGTTTCTGTATAACAAGAATGTTGGATGAGTCAGAGGAGCGATGATCTATATCCTAGACATTCGCGAGCTAGAAACATACCCAGTGTGGCTGTTGATTGATCGTCCGTGCGCAGATACCGCTAAGTGCCTCCCAGAATCGTATAGTATGATCGTCTGTATATAAATACGAGAGAAGATCAGAGCCGAAGGTATGGGTAGAAGCATGGCCTTTGACGGCTCACACCCGGCTGTCACCAAGATGACGCTCATCTCCTCTTGCGTGTGCTGTCCGGACTGTCCACCTTGAGACATTTTCGCTCACTTGCAGGTGATAAAAGTATATGCTCTATGGGAATTGCTAGTCTTGTTGCGCCGTCGTTGTCATCTGATTCAAGAAGCCGTTATAGCTCACCTTGCAGTATATCATTGAAGCGACGATATCGTCATTCGACCGAGCGAGACCGGAGCTTGATCCGACCAGGTCAGACTTGATATCGCATAGATCTTCTGAGTTATGCGTTATTGCCAATTCCCTAAGGTAGGATCGTTTGTTGACGATTGGGAAGTCGAGCAACTGGTAACTACATCAACTTTTCGTGTCGCTGCCGTGATCCCCTTGTTGATCCATAATACCACCATCAAGATGACCGCAACAATCCCCAATGGTTCCGATACCCTCTTCGGCGTGTCGTTGCCGAAAGAAACAAGGCTAGGCGCCGGGGGCAAGGAGCTACCAGAGCTGTACAGGTGAGAATTACCGGTACTGATCTTTGCATTACCATCTGCCGCTAATGTTCGCTTTGCCATCTCGTTGATTAGATCGAGTGGTAACGAGATGCAGGATCGTTTGGCGTTCTTACATATGCTCGAACAGCTCAAAGTAAGTGATATTGTCGAGACATTCCTCACGAAAACCATTATGCATACTCATACCCGGCTTGCTATAGATTCAAAAACGATCAGGATGGATCAGAGAGGGAGTGGAAAAGCCCGAGAGGTACGTCGGCCCTAAGCTACCAAGCTTTATTTTCCCGCTGTGCTGATGACCAATGGTATGTTACCTATAGTGTTGCGGATCACATGTACCGGATGGCTATGATCGCCATGATGATCCCCACCAAAGGAACAGATCGGCCGCTGGATATCGGTCGTTGTGTGCAGGTCAGTCGGTTTCTACGATTGGAGAACGCGTAGCAAAGTTTCGCCTTGGTGCTTATGTCTGTATATTTATTCCGGCAGATGGCACTCGTGCACGACCTCGCAGAAGCTCACGTCGGCGACATCACCCCGGTAGAAGGTGTATCCCCGAATCTCAAACACCAGGTCGGCATGTTCCTCGCACAGCACTAAACCTACCCTTGCTGACCTGGCAATCGACACATCTGTGTTTGCAGCTGGAAGAAGAAGCCATGCAATCGTTCATGCACGAGATGTTGGGCGGGGAAGGGAACAGGGAAGCCAGGGAGAGGATCTGGTCGTTATGGGAAGTGCGTGAAATCGGGCATCTACGGTCCTGCTCGGTGTTTCCGGAACGAAGCTGATAGGGGAAGATTTTTGTAGGAATACGAAGCTCGAGAGACCCCAGAGTCTAAATTGGTCAAGGACCTGGATCGGCTGGAGTTGATTTTGCAAGCTATTGAATATGAACGATGTGAGTTGACCCCTGGGAACAAGCCAATTGGGGTCAGCAGTGACGTACTTTGCTGCTTACCCTATTACAGCACAAGATGTTCGAACGCTCGCTCCGTTCTTCCTCGGATCCATGCGTGAGTCCTCAAGCTAACGTCTGAGGGATGCGCTTTGCTGATGTATTGCGCCTCGATGTTACGATATCTCACAGCTCACCTGGAGCATCCCGCCGTACGAGAGTGGGCTCAGGCGCTATTTGAGGAACGACAAGCACTCTGGGAGAGTCGAGGGTTGGGGGAACAGGCGAAGAGCGAGATTGGGCACGTACGAGTAGGGGTACCGGCCGATAAATGAAGTCGCAGATTAGATACGCATACCCGGTTTCGTAATTCCGAACACCCTTTGTATCTATCAAATTGCATGTTCTTTTGGTTTTCACACGTGAACAGTTCTCCTGTATCTGCTAAAATCCATCGAAATCCATCAAGAACCTAACGAAGTGCCGTCCGACTTGACGATCATCTCCCGTAGTCCTGCTGCTTTCACAAGTTTCCACCAGAACCGTTTCCATTCCAATGGGTCTCCCTGCGACCGAACGATACAAGATCAGCGAACGACTGATGTGAAAATCAAGACACTCCGCCTTACCTTGCTCCTGATGAGCTCTACTAGCGTCACCTCGCCTGGCCACCTGGGATCATCCCGGAACTTGACGTCTCCTCTCAAGGGTTGTCTTCTGTTATCCAGCAGCGAAACCTGTACCACCGCGTTCGATTCCCTCACGTGATCCGGACCGAGGAGTTCCAGTAAAACTTGGACGACAGCTTGGATCGTCTGCTCGATAGGGACCACCAGTCGGAATCGGGACAAGGTGTTGTACATGACAGTAGATCCACCCAAGGTGCTCTGGCCAAGGGCGTTTTGTTAGCTTTAGCCTCCTTCCGCATGAGAACGTAAACATCCAAGCAACCCACTGATAGTCCGGTGGCCTGCATGAATTGGGAATCCATTTGGCTGAGCTGACTTGCGTAAGCATCTCCTCCTTGGCCTCGGTATCTGTGATTGGGCTCGTGTTAGTTTCTGGTTCTGGTAGCTGTTGACATAAGTGATAATGGACTGACGGGATCTGAGACCGCTGAGGTTCCGCCACGTCCATCATACCAGCACGACGTAAACCCTTGGTCAATTCGAAAGGAATGTTCTGTCGGCTGATCTGACTTGGTCTGAGGGATTCTCGATATTATTTGCGTCAGCGATAGGTTCAGGTATGATAATTTGAGCGGCAACTCACGACATCAACCATCGATGCGTCTTGATTTGTGGAATTGTTATCCGCTTGGCGGGATCCACGTCGAGACAAGCCAATAACAGCGCTGCGGATGTCAATTGGTAAAGGATCAGCATTGTAGGGGTCATGAGATACCGCGATAGTCTTAGAGCACAAGAACGCTTACCAAGCGCATCTTGCGGGATGTTATTCCAGGGATCGTACTGCAGCAACTCTCCTGTCAAGTACGCCTTGTATTCCGGACTAGCCGTCGATGGCTCGTCCCAAGGAGTGTCTGAAGGCAAAGAAACAGCCGTCTCAACCAAGATCGCCGATATGGTTCTATGAACGAGCAGACTCACTACCAGCCAACAGAGTGAATAGCACTACCCCAGCTCCCCATATATCGATCGGCTCTGCGTGATACCCTCCTGTTGAGTTCAACTGTGTACAAAGCGCGACCCGTCCAGCATTGTCTCATGGTTCAAAGCAGATCTCGGTTGACTCACCTCTGGTGCAACGTAAGGCAAACTTCCACATCGTCCCGTCAACAGCCTCGTCTTGCCCTGATGTTTCCATACCGCACATAGGCCGAAATCCGAAATCTTCAAATCACCTGCTCCACATCAAAGACTGACCATCAGCGATCGAGCAGGACTGTCCACAAGTAATAGTAGAGCGAACCGTTCGCTCCTAGCAGCAGATTCTCCGGTTTCAGATCCCGGTGGCAGATCCCCTTCGAATGTATGTGTTCCTGCAACCCATAAGCAAAGCGAAGCCTTCAATTACATGCCGCCTCCCGGCGAGACAGCGCATGACAAGCTTACGAGACCGGAGATCAGCTGTGTGAAATATAGCTTGGCGAGTTCAGAATCCACTCCAACATCGGGTGCTACAGATCGGTGTAAAAGCTGTCAGCGTCAGAACATCCGCAACTCAATCTTGAGCTTGCCAGACTTACCAATCTTGTCAAACAGGTCACCGTGCGTAGCCAGCTCCATCAACATGTACAGCCCAGGTATATAATCCCGATGTCCATGCTGGACCATCAGCGAGTCCATATACTCCAGGATGTACTTGCTCTTGAGCGATTTGTGGACCGAGACCTCTTTCTGCAGTGCCTTGAGATCGACGGCAGGTTTTCCATTCTGGGACCGCTTAGGATCTGGTAATGAGACCACCTTGCAGGCCGCTACTTGGCCGTACCCGTTCTGCTCATGCTTGTACGCCCGGAACACACTGTCACATACGTTTACAATTAGCTTTCGCTATAAGGGCTTCGACGCTCAGGATATCCCAGCTTACGTCGAGAATCCACCCCGACCTATTCTTTCCTGCACTTGATAGCCTCGGACTTCTGCATATCGCAATGCTTGGGGTGCCGTTTCTTCCATCGGACTGTGACACGAACCTTGAGGATTCATCTCAAGTGCTTCTGACGATCGACGATTAGTGAGTCTGAGGCGCTTGTAATAATGCTCTGATGGCATTTGGAGGAGAACGGCTCGCACAAGTTGTTCTGAACGGCGATGTCGATCTCTGAAGGCGATGTCACGGATTTTGACAAAGTAAACAAACAGACTTCTAGGTCAAAGCAGAGGATGTCCGCTGCTGGCTAGTGGAGCTAGTGGACAGATAGACCTCGGCCTTGAAACCGTCCCATATCCTCTGGCTAGAAGGCTGTGCAGGGTTGGCCAGGCTGCCAGAACCAGAGATCCATCTGATCGCTCAAGTGAAGCGGAGAACAGCGTGTATGAGATCGGTCTAAGCATACCATGATCACCGGTTCGTCTGAGTATAGGAACGTACCTGGATCCGAGCTGGGTCCACATCATACCACAATCGACCTGCCTCGAGCCATCGCTCGTCCTCAAAGATGGCGAAGACGAGTTTCTCAAAAAGATCCCCGAAGAACCTTCCGATGCAGTGATACCCGTTCACACCATTGTTGTAGGCGTAATCCACCTTGTTCCGGACCACTCTAGCGTGTACAGCTAGTTGACGACTGATTGGGTTTCTGCAACCAGGTGCGCATGTAGACATCTCGTAAGCATCTACCAACTAGGCTTTTGCATATTACAATCGGGTTTGCGAGGGGCGCTTTGCTTTGGTCACGATATCGCAGAAAATGATGGTATTCGTACAGCTCCAAGTACATGAAAGAGGGTAACAATCGGGAAAAATACAAGGCAACACCACGACCAACAATCTCGGGGCCAGCAATCTATCGTCGGTCGTTCGTTCCATTCTTCCTCTTTCCACTGTACAACTGTTTGTGAGCAAGAAAAAGAAACGGGGACGTCAGTAACAGATAGGACCGTAAAGAGGCATTGCGACTAGAACGTACCCATTTCGGCTTCATGTCCGGTACATGACGATCACCCTCACCAGCACGTCCAAACAACGCAGCAGGCCTTCGTCCAAGCCTCTCGAGCTCGTCGGCCTTGGCGGATTGCGTCGCCGTAGTGAGACCTCCGGTTCGTCGATCCGTTCGGGGTGCACGTCGCTCGGCGATAGCTCTGCTCCTTCCTGTGTACTTGCTAGTACCAGTAGAAGGCCCAGCGACAGCCTCCTCGTCCACGTCCATCCCGTCCTGATCGTCTCCACCGTTCTGGGCCTTGAAGGCCTCGTAAGCCTCCTTCTCCTTGGCGACGAGCTTCTCGGCCCTCTTCTCCAGGTGCTTGGGATCGAGTCCGATCTGCTTCATTCCAGTAGTGAACTGCTTGAGCGACACGTGCTGAGTCTTTCGAGGCAAGACTGGTCGGTTCTTGAGCGTGTTCTTGCTCTGCGAGAGCTTTTTCAGGAGAGCCTTCTTCTCGGCAATCTGCTTGGCAGCGTCCCTGATCTCTTCCTCGTCCGAGCCGACCTGGAGGATTTGGTGAAGATGCAACAACAATGAGCCAACACGTCTTCAGAAAGAGACCCGGACCTGGCGGGCAGACTCACAATCTCCTCGTCGTCGCTCTGGTAGAATCCCTCGGCCTCGAGCTTCTCCTCTTCCCGCTCCAAAGCCTCGAGCTTCTCCATGATATCCGGATCGATAAAGTCGGCAACGTTCTTTCCGTCCAAGAGCTCGGGCTGTACGTCGTACTTCCAGTCGGGGTCCTCCAACAACCATCCCTCTGCAAAGGCGCACACAGGACGAAAAACCCATCAGTGACCCAGGGTTTCGCATCTCTTTCGCTAAACCTTGGCACTCACTTCGGAGGTCCTGGGTAAAGATTCCCTGGCCCATCATCTCCTGCTCGTCATCCCTCTCCAACCTGATCCTCTCCGGGTCCTCCTTGTCGTACTTCTTCTTGGCCAACGCGGCAGGCGGGATGAACGCCGGTCGCTCGACATCATCTCGCTTGGAGGGCATGGCGACGTGAATCTTGTTGGCGACAGCTTCGAGCCTGTTGCCCCTCAACTTTTGCTCAACTCGATGGGCCAGAAGGGCGTCGCATGCCTTGTCTCGGACGTTGACGACTCCCTCTTCGGTGTAGGCCGAAGTCTGCACACAGGTGACTTCGGGAAGATTGATGATCTCGTCGACGAGGACGCGGGTCTCGGCGGGCAGTTCATCCAACCTCAAAACGTCGATCTTGTTGATGACGAGGATAACGGGCTTGTTGTTGAACAAGGGCTTGATCGAGTGGAAGAGCTTGCACTGAGCCTCAACGGTGTATCCACACTGCTCGGAAACGTCCATAAAGTAGAGGACGGCGGATCGCAAGTGGGCGAGGGCGGTAATGGACTGCATTTCAATCGTGGTGAACTCCTCCAGAGGTCGGTCTGCGTGGTACAGATGTAGATTCGGTCAGCCGGGCTTGCGAACTTCACGATATGCTACGTCGACTCACCCAAAAGACCGGGAGTGTCAATCACCTGCCATCGCAAATATCGGTAGTCCATGTGTCCAACGAACAACGACTTGGTAGTGAAAGCATACTAGGAACACGAACAAGAACCCTCGTCAGCCTCCTCCGGTCCTTCTCGCAGCTCACGATCGCCCGCTACGCAACACCATGACTCACCGGCTGAACATCCACATCAGCCCTGGTGATCTTGTTGATGAAACTACTCTTTCCGACGTTGGGGTATCCGCAGATGATCAACGTCCTCGTGTTCGGGTCAATAGCGGGGAGACGCGAGATGTGTTGTCGGACCTGTTCGAGGTAGGCCAGGGGTTCTTTCTGACGACGCATGATCGTGGCCATTCTAGAGGAAACGAAGCGAAAGATGAGGAAACGATAAGCACCGGCTCTACCCCACGAGCTAGACATCGCCCTGCGTGAAAGCCGAACAACTCACCTTCCGAGAGCAGCCTTCTTGAGCTGTTTGCATCTGTACAGGCTGTCTCCAAACTTCAACAGCCTGACGTAATCCTTTCCGACCTGGTCGATCAAGTGTCGAGCAGTGTTAAGCTGACCGAGGGCGAGCTTGTAATGGTTCTTGTCGTAAAGAACGTTGAGGAGGGAGGAGAGGAAGGGGTGGAGGTTCTGGAGACAGCGTCAAGGGGAAAGATTGGGTTTCAGCAAGGAGTTCAATGTCAAGCGAGACATATGCGATTTGATATGGGCTGTCTGACCCAGAAGAGGGTAAGCCGGAATTGGGGGGCGAGACTCACGTCCAAGATGGGGAACTCGGAGAGAATTCCACCGAGCTTCATGTCGAAAAGATCCTGGGTGAACTTGACCTTTCGCATGTAGACTAGAGAGATTTTGAACAAAAGACAAGGTTATCAGTACGATATTTCGAATTCTCTTTGACACTGAAGGCGACGGGTACTCACAGTTCCTGATACGAGAGATCTTGAACTAAGATCACCAATATATGATATCCGCCAACAGACCGCATTCATCATGGTTCAGCTGACCGATCTTCCACAAAACAAGACTCGTCACAACGGCTCCAACTCACGTTCTTGTGGATGACGGTGGGAGTCTTCCTCTGAACCGAGGACAGGATGATGTCCAGGAAATCGTTCACATTGGGAACGGGCGTGATCGCCTTGAGGCCGTTGACGGACATGGTTTCGAGAAGTTTTCTGGGGTAGCTAAGTTTATTCGGCGAGGTTCTAAGGTGGCCTTCGACGAGAGGAAACAGGGCAAAAGGACGAGAAAGTCGACGATGTCGTTGGGGACGACCATCTTGAAAATGCCCTTGCTTGCCCTTGCGAGGCGGCGAGCACAAACAACTTCCGAAGGGGAAAATCTGGAAATCACGTGATCATTAACCCATCGGAAAAGGTGAAATCTGGTTCCGATCATAGCCTCGAGCGGAACCAAAATGGCGTGCAACCTCGAGCTGCTACAGGCAGAGTTCCGTTGTCGTATCACATAGTGTATCGTCACTTGTTTTACAATAGTCTCGTATTTGCGTGGGTAGAAGGATAGGCACTGATACTAGACTTTCTTGTCTGTTCTCTTCAAGCCAAAGAATTAAGAGAAGGGGGAAAAAAACGCTGCACATCTCAAGAGTCCACCCGGACATGTCGAAATCCCTAAAGACGTTACGTCAACCTGAGACAGGGACCTCGCTCCCCTTAATCGCTTCATCCAACTCGGCATACTCGGGCAACTTGTAATCTTCGGTATCCGCCGGTTGGTCGATCCACCTGATCACCCAAGGGTGAGTGACGACCCTGACGACCCCCGCCAGTGCCATCTGGGTGAACCATCTCCTCCACCACGTCTTGGGGTGTACCAACCGAGGCACCCAGACGGGGAAACTCTGGGTCTCCTTGACGAACGGTCGGAAAGCCTCGTCATACGCCTGGAAAGCTCGACCGGGATGTTCACCGGGAGAAAGTTTGGCGAGCTCCCCAGCAAGGACGTAAGCCCCCAAGATGGCCAGCGTGGTCCCGCTTCCCGTAAGCGGGGTCGGAGCCCAGGCGCTGTCTCCGAGACAGACTACCCTGTTCGAGGACCATTGCGACATTCGGATCTGTTGGATCGGGTGAAAGTAAAAGTCGGGGGCGGTAGAGATGCCGCCCAAGAGCCTTTCAGCTTGCCACCCCACGCCTTCGAAATCGCGTTTGAGAACATCGGCCTGGAGTGTCTTGTCCCCCGATCTCGAAGCCTCGTCCCAATCCTTCCTTATCTCCGGAGTCGGCGGCATAAACGTGATAGCAGCCCTGATCGTCCCATAAGGATCGGGACGTAGCGTCATCCCCCTCTGTCCGACTCCTTGGTAGATGTTCCAATCGTCATTGTCCGTCTCTTCCCGCTTCATCGTCCAATAGGCGACAAAGAGATTGTAGTCGACCACCTCGACGGCCGAGGCGGGGAAACAATCCTTGCGTAACCTGGACCATTGACCGTCGGCGACCACCAAGAGGTCGAATTTCTCCACCCTCCCATCACTCAGTTCCACCTCAACCTCCTTGTCGTCGTTCTTGATGACCCGCTTCACAGACATGCCGAACTTGAAATCCACCCCGGGGAGATCTTTGGCGGCCGTATGAAAGACCTTGGCCAGATCGCCCCTCAAGATCTCGTACTCGCTCGTCGGGCTCGCCGACGACCCCTTCTTCATCCCCATCCTTCCGAACCCTTTCCCGTCCGGTGCGATGAACTGCGTGCCCTTTTCCGTCGTGTTCTTCTTCCTGATCTCGTCCATCAATCCCATCTTCTTGGCGACCGTGATGGCGGTACCATGGATATCGATGTTCTGGCCGTGTGGAAGTAGTTGAGGGGTCTTTTCGAGGATGGTGACGGTAGCTCCGGTCTTGGCTAGCCACCAGGCAAGGGTAGGGCCTGCGATGCCGGCACCACTGACAAGGACTCGGAGTGGGGAGGCCATGACGATATTCTAGCGGGGAAAGCGAGTTTGACGAGTCGTAGGTTTACAGGAGGCTGCAGGGATCGAGAGGAAGTCCTCCCTGATCTCTGGTCGCACCAGCCTCGCATGGTGTTATATATAAGCGTACAGCTTGCAGCTTGTGATCACCGGCCTGTCGAATCTCGAGGTATAGCTCGGTCATCGGTCGTCCCCAACCTCGGCCAAAGCAAGTCTCTCCCGACGCGCCCACGCGGCATCACGGCTCCGGGACGACCTATAAACAAACACACACAACTCTGGCCTCTGACGCTCGGAGCGCATCCGTCATGATATCGGCTGCCAATTCGCATACTCGGCACAAACTGGGGAGCTGGCAACGTACGGCACCCCTGTTGTCTAGCAACGTTCCTATTGGTCCGTCAGAGCGACGGTCCTGCTCTTCACCGATCACCGAGCTAGGTAGCTGAAGGAGATGAAACGACGGGGATCGCAGGACCGTGCATCACGTCCGGGAGATCATACGATATGATGGGACCGACCAGCTGCCTTCAGTTCAACGTTGAGCCAAGCTGTATTATCGCCGTCAGAAACGCAAGATCAGAGGTATCAGAGATGCTGGAACCCATCAAAGGTGATATTACGACCGTCTCACACCCTCCTCAAACGCGGCAATGAAGGTACAAACCCCAGGATGAGCACGATGTGGGCGCGTCAAAGGAGGACGACCAAGATGACGAACAAGGTCGACGAGAACACCACTCGCAGGTCGACCCCGCAGGTCGATGAGAAGATACCTCGCTACGGCCCTCTGCCGGACATGAGGGGGTTGAGCCACGTCCGCCTTCCAGATGGACGACCTTTGTATGGCTTACAAGCGATACGTCTATGCCAAAGCCCTGGCGAACGCTGCGCTAGCAGAAAGACCAGTGGCTAACACTGCTTGATTGTGATGTAAACCGTGTGGGCCTGGATGATGTGCGAGGGACCGTCCAGTGGTATCACGGGCAGGATCTTGAAAGCTATCTACCCCAAACTGAGTAGACTCGTCCAATATTTGTAAACAGTTCAAGAAGTTCGTAATTATGGTAGCAAGACGGGTCGATAATGCACATTCCCGGCGGTGAAGCCTTGCCTGTGGCTACCGGACAGGCTACAGTATCGATGCCGGATGAGCACGGAACTCGAGGAATCCAGCTGCAAGAATGTCGAAGCGTTCTTCGTCGATCACATGCATGCCTGCGCCATCAGCTTGGCCACCGGTCGGATATCGTCTCACTCGTCGTGCTCGGCAGAGCGTTCTGGTATGTCGTACATCTGCCTCATAGTAAAACGGTTCCGAGGAACCGCATCTCTTTGCCAATCTGGTTGCTGTCGCTGCGAAGCCTTGGAGCTGTGAAGGAAGTAGACCTGTCTGCTTCAACGAATTCGCTGAAGAAAAGCGAAGTTAGGCACCCGGGAACCACGAGTCTAGAACCCTTCGGTAACCTGTCAAGAGGTGCGCATCAACTCGTCCCGTCAACTTGTAAGCCACTCTGGTTCCACGGAGTCTTGCAGGATATCGTCAGAGCAGACCTCAATCGCACGCGAACACACCCTCTCGCGATCGACCCGCGATGAGAGTGCCTTGTGCGCCGTATCTTCTCCAAGTGTATATCGATGAATCCACCCCTCGATTATTCTGCTTTTACATCCCATTTCTCATGCCCATTGCGACATCATCCGGCCCTCAAAGTTGTCTTTCCCACAACAACCTCAAGTTGCGCATGACGGCGAGTTCCTCTTGTCCTATTTAAGCGGGTCCACCACCGGTCTTCCTCCTGGATTGTGACCGTGATAGGGGAGGCGAAATGATCCATTGGAGATGGGTATTAATGGGATGTGACGTATTTAGATCCATGCCGTATGATAGAAGGACCGAAACCGAGAGGGGTTTCGAGAAACGTAGCGCAAGATAGAGCAAGGAGATGCGAGATGGGTGAACGAGAGATATAACAAGCGAATGAAGCAACATTCCAATGATCAGCCTTCCGTTCGTTAAAGTTGCCAATCCGGCGATCATCATCCCGGTCGATCCTGCTCTCTTCGCTCTTCCTGGCAGCAATGCTGAGGCTCTAATGGCGAAGGCTGAGAATGCCCTTCGTGTCCTCAATGATAGGGCGACGGAATTTTCAACAAGGTCATGTGAATGCTAGGTCGTCCTTGCCCGGCTAGTATATGCCCAGAGACTCTCGGCCCGCAACTCTCCCAATTCGCCAGCCCCCATCCGCAGTTCACCACGACACAGAAGAGCACGCAACGTTCTGCACCCCTGCTCCACCACCGAGACCGTTCGACTCACAAGTGCCAAGCAGCGATGGCGAAGGGAGTTCCGAATCCAGCACAGAAAAAGGCGGCGATCTTGATGGCCAAGAACGGACGGTTGGTGACGTCGGTAGGGATGGTCTGCAACGTCGAGTCAGGTTGAGGAGCACGAGACCACATGAGCAACATGAAGACAGCGGTAATGCTGACGAGCCGGTGATGGAGACGGGAGTCAACCGGAGACTGACCTTGCCGACGACGTTTTCAAAGTGGACGTTCCTCGCCTGGGTCTTGCCGACCGAAGGAGCGATCCTGGAGGCGGTTCGGAGGGTGGTTCGGGAGAGGAGAGACATGACGACGAGAAGCGAGATGAACTATATGAGGAGACTGCAGCTGGTGCTATGATTCGACGTAGGACTTGCCTTTGATCTCGATGTATGAAGAAGATGACATCCGAGCGGTCGTCGGGAGGAAGCGGGGAGGAGCAAAGACGCTGGTCGAGGTCGAGGGCGACGCGCATCGAATGCCGTAACAGCTTCTCCCCCCTTGCCCCCTACGCGCCTTCTCATTGGACGCGGCGCGTTGCTTCGTGTTCGACCGTGATGAAACGGCAACCGCCTCTCACGTTTCTCGACGACCAAGAGCCCTTGAATCCCAGCATGTTGTCAGGCGCAATCGGTTGTCTATCGAAAGGTGACAGGAGGCTTTGAAGCCACCCTGTCTCCTCAAGGCGCCTTTCATATGCTTTGGAACCACCACTACGGTATTCTACAGTAAGCGTCTTGTCGACAGAGGACGGAGAGTGACTCAACACCGTAGACTTACTCGAACCGCCTGATCATCGATACTCTATTGAAAGTGATCGTACCGTTATGCATCATTTCCCCCGTCATGTCCTTCACCGAGGCCGATGTTTTCACCGACACCGTATTCCCTGTAGCCGTGTCCCCCACCGTACAAACATAGACCTCGCCACGGGACTTTGAGCTAACTGGGTACACCTCGAAGCCGAAAGCAAACCCAGAAACTACAGGGTTCCTCGGGGAAGATAAAGCCGACGTTCGCAGACAAGGGCTCTATCTTTGGCAGATGCGCACCGAATGCAGCCTCGACACTGACGACGATAAAAGCGGTACAAAATGACTTTGTCCCTATCTTGTACCGCTCACAAGACCTCTCCTGCCCTGGAAAACCTGAATTATCTTCCCTTCAGACGACAGGAGAGAGTCAATAAAGGTGCTGGTTGGTGTATCAGCCTCGAGATCTGGAGTCTGTAATCGTTCTACACCTCTAGCATACCAATAGATTGATCCTTAGCAACATTTAAGAATATGAATGCTGAACATCTATGGAATGGCCAATGCCTAGCAAGATAGAATCCTGTCTGGCGAATAATGCTTGCCGCTAAATACCGCAAATGCGGCTTATCTGTTGTCATGCCCGTCGCGCTACATCTTTCCAGAACGCGCAGCCCATTACAATCTCTCGATGGCCAGTTCGATGATCTCGCTTGGCTCAAACAGGCTATATGCTCGCCCGATATGGCCGTCCAGAAAGACCAATTATCGAAGTGTTAATCTTGACAATCTGTGTTTCTCGCTGACATTCGAAACCCCCCGTGAGCAGTCGTCCGGCAGGTTGTTTAATATCATTGTCACAAGGAGGCGCGCTTGCCAGAATTGGTCACTTCGATCGGGCGCTGAGAGGTTCCTTCCTGATCTCGACTTCTTTCTTTGTGCTACACTTCGAGAGATGCAAATCAAATCTGGAGAACGCCTTTACCGATGCTCAATCGAAATTTTGACCGAGCCGTGTCCTCTGAGAGGGATGGTAGAGAATGGCCGAACGAGAAATCAGGCGCCGCGCCTCTTTCCTGATCGGCGCGACCATCGAGGCTGACAGCTTACTGGGACGCCTGTATATGTGGACGTGTGGTTCCGGGCGACATGAGAGGGCACGAGATTGGAACAGGGAGCTGCGATGAGATACTTGGTACCTGATAGAGATTGGGACGCCAGTAGTGATGACAAATGACGACGACCATGATGTCAATCCGTCTGTCTGGCTTGAACGGGCAATCTGATAATAAAATGATCCGCGCGATTCGTCACGACCTTCCTGCTTGCGCGGCACTTGTCATCCTCGTTGTACTCTTGTTACCAAACCCATTTGGACCTGTACATCGTCACATTCTTGACCGTACAGGCAGCTGTTCGAACCTCCCTTGACTTTCACTTCCGCCCAATCCCCTTCACAATCGCCCTTGCCCTGCTTCCAAGGAAAGGCAAGGATCGGGTTCTGCTCCTCCGGGTCGCGGGCGAGATCGATCGATTCGAGCCGACCACAACTATCAGGCTATCAAGTCCAGGAACGAGCTCCTCTTGCACACATACCTCATCCACCGGATTGTTTGGTCCCCCTTCGAGATCGGATACCATGTCAGATCTCGGTCTATTACAAGCCTACATCTCCACCTCGCCCTTCCCCGTCGTCATCTACCGTACCTCGAGCACCGCCAACGGCAATGGTAGCAACAACGGCGACCAACATGGACAACAGTCGGACAAGGTTCACGGATTCGACCTTGATGATTTACCAGCGTTCGTCAACCCTGCCGCACACAACATGGTCGGGGATCACCCGTTCGGTCGGTGTATAGCCACGTCATCGCAGACGAGCTTGAAGCAGACGGTAGATGAGGTCTGGAAGAGACACCTGGTCTGGTCCAACGGGTCGCGACCGCAGATGCAAAGGCAATTTGTTCAGTCTGATCAAGATGAGAAACGATCAGGACCCGGTACTCCTCCGCCCAGGGTCGAAGTCACTCTCCTGCAAGCCGTCTCTATGGCAAAAAGCATGAGCCACCCTAAACATCACGTACCACCTGGAAACCTTGCCAACGCATCGCCATCCTCCACCGAGAGATCCATCTCCTCCTCTTCACAACCGCTGAGTCCGCATGAAGTTCCGGCGGCTCTCAGTATACGCGGTGAAGGCAACCTCCAGATCATCAAATGGGCGTTTAGCGTCTTGCCTCTTGCTTCGGGTCCAGGCGCTGAGTCACCAGAGTGTATCTTGGTCATGACCGGGATATGGGCACAACCGGGTTCTAACGAGCTGCCAGACCTTCACAGAACTGGGACATTCCCTAGTTCATCGAGGAAAGGGTCCGTCTCGTCTTCTCGCTCTGGTGCTGCGACGAAACAACCGGATCAGAACGCGACCTCGAACGCGACCGAATCTTTGGAGAATCCGTTGATCTCGGATGATCTCGACAGTGTCCCGGAGCAGCTTGTCAGAAAGGCTCGTGAACTAAACATACCGCTGCCCGAGAGAAGGTGGGGACCGCCGTCTACATACCCGTTGGTTCCCAGCTCGCCACAGAAGACGCAAAAAGACGTAAACGAGATAGTCAACCAGGGCGACCCTGCTCCGAGCTCGGACCCGGCTCAGACCACGAATTTGATGAGCCCTGGGGTGCGCAATAATGGAGAACCTCTCGAATCCTACTACGCTACAGAAGACCGGCCTGAAGGTCTATCGGTCAAACTTGACCCGGACGTGCTGGCTCGAATGGCCGAGACCGCTCCGATCGGCATGGTCATTGCCAATACCAACGCCAAGCTGATCTGGGTCAATGACAAGTGGCACGAAATCACCGGAATAGCCAAAGGAGAAAGCTTGGATTCGTGGATCGACCGCGTTGCGCCCGAATATATGAGCCTGTTGCTACAGACAGTCGGGGACCTTATGGAGACGCGGGCTGTGTCCAACATGGATTTCATGTGGAACGACGGAACGTGGGCCAACTTCACGACCCGGTGTGATTACGACGAGGACGGCGTGTTTGTCGGGTTGATCGGGACTCTGTCGGACGCGACGAGGCGGAAGCGAGCCGAGCTCAACGAGATCGATGCACTCGTCAAGCGTGAGGCCGAGGCCAGAAGAGCGGCAGAGGAAGTGGAACAGCGGAATCGTGAGCTAGCCGAAGCCAACGTGATGAACCAAAAATTGCAGCAGCAGAGGAATATGTTGGCTAGTATGGCAGAGATCTCGCCGACCGGGCTCACCATCTCCAAGGCGGACGGGAACATCGTCTGGGCGAACAAGGCGTTTCTCGCTATGCACGGGCTCGATGACAGTACTAAAGGAGAATGGGCGGATACCGTAGTCGAGGAGGATGCCTCTCGGCTGGTTGACATGTGGGCAGAGTGGGTAGCAAGCGAGGTCGTGATCTTAGGGATCGGACCACATGGCTGATTACCGCGCTCGTCTTCTGTAATCGTCAGCTGTGTACAATCTGGAACTCCTCTGAAATCTCGTCATCGGTGGGTCTAGTAGTAGCCCATATCACTCGAAACGCGCTGATTCCACATCATCTTGCACACAGTCTTAAAAACGGCAAGACCGTGATAGCGGAGGCTATCCGGGATACGACGACCACGCTTTCTGGTGGGGCTCCTTATATTGGCAGCACCAACGACATCACCCTACAAGTCGAAGGCGAAAGTGCGATACAACGGCTGTCTGATCAAAGGGTCGCCGAGGCCGAGCAGAGGAGAAAGGATGCCATCCACCAAAAGGAACAGCAGGCCTTGTTGGTGGATTGCGTATCACACGAGCTAAGGAACGGCATCAACCCAATCTTGCAATCATCACTCCTTATACGACACTCTTTAATGCTTACCGAGGGTAGCTTTAGCCTAGCGCTGCGCAATAGCGGTGGAACGATGACCATTACCGAAGAAAACCTCCGGGCGATCGAGGAAGACATCGAGGCGTGTGACGCAATCATCGATAGCGCTCATCAGATGGAAAGGGTGGCCAACGACATCCTCGGTCTCGCCCAGATTCAACTGAATCAGCTCGACGTTACACCTGTACCTTTTGACTTGGGAAGTCAGCTGAGGTAAGTTGCCTAGTATCTTTGCTTGGGCCGCATGTTGATGCGTACTCATGTCTCGAACACAGGGGGATACATCGAATGTTCCAGGCCGATTGCAAGGCAAAGGATTTGAACCTCTCGCTGATACTTGGAGATAACCTGAAGATTCTCGGACCCAAGCCAATGATCAAGGCGGACCCTACTCGACTGCAACAAACGATCGTGAATCTGTGCTCTAATGCGATAAAATTCACCTCGTTGCAAGCCAAGCGCGAGGTCACGATTAGGGTCGACGTCAACCTGAAAGCTCCTGACGAACACGAATCCATCGTACCTCCGCCTGACCCGCCCCTCAAAACCCTCCCGGATGGTCACCCGGTCTGGCTGTACGTCAGCGTGTCCGACACTGGACCCGGCATGACCCCGCACGAGTTGAGCAAGCTCTTCAAAAAGTTCACGCAAGCCAACACCGAGGTTCACACGCAGATGGGAGGCAACGGCCTAGGTCTCTTCATCGCCAAGCAGTTGTGCGAATTGCAAGACGGGCGAATAGAAGCCGTTTCGACGAAGCAGGCCCCGACAGGATCTGTCTTTCGTTTCTTCATCCGGGCCGCCTCCGTGGTCAAACCGACCGAGATGATCCGGTCGAGGAGTACCCCTTTGTTCCCTGCGGACGACAGCAAGACTGGTTCGATGCACATCCTAGTCGTTGACGACAATGAGATCAACCGTAAAACTCTCAGTCGCCAGCTCAAGATGTACAAGCATAGAGTCAAGATGGCTGGCGATGGGCAGGAAACACTTGTGAGTTGTTGCCGTTGAGTGAGGACTGTCCGGCCCTGACCAAGACGACTCACTCCCACATCAGGAAATCATCGAAGCCAATGAAGCGGCAGGGACGCCTTTCGATTGCATCTTGCTCGACGTGAACCTGCCCATCATGGACGGTCTTCAATGTACCGCCTATCTGCGCAAAAGCGAGATCGAACATCGTCGCAGCAGACCGTACTGGATCGTAGGGTGTACTGGGAACGCTCGACCCGAGGTGAGTGATCTCCTCTGCGGCCCCAAGTTGCCTCGCCACTCATCTGGAATGTTCGCTATAGCAAATCGAGAGGGCGCTGCAAGCGGGTATGGATACCGTCATAACAAAGCCTTGTGAGGTTTTGCTTGCCTTATCTGCTGTTTCATGTCCCTCTACTGACACGACATCGTTTGAAAAGACCGATTACCCGCACTCTTGAAAGCCATAATACCGCCAACAGTAAAGGCAACGACCATGACCCCTCCGCTCGAAAGCGTATAGCCCAGTCCCACCCCTTGATCTGGTTTCCACAGAATGATAACAGCTGTATCTAACATCCTTCTCACCGGCACGAACCCGACAAGCATCGTAGGATTGTGTCGCCTTGTATCCAATAGAAAGTAGCGCATGCCAGAAAGTGGCCGTGTCAGACGGAAAAGAATATTGTATAAAGCCTCCTCGATTATAGTTTCTGCATGGTGTAGATCATCTCAATCATGACATGCGATGCGCAAACCAAAGCTTACATCAGGTCGATTGCATTAACCATCGCAATGTTGTGATCACTTGGCTTCCCCAACCACGAACCCCGATCCTGAGAGACGAGCGATCTCTCCGGGCACATGTTTCAGCTTGGAGACGATCTCTTGCACCAAGACCCGATTGTCGGGGGTGATGGGTGATCTGAGATAGATGTCGACGCCTGCAGGTGTGAAGAGGGTCTTGGAAAAGTCTTGACATCAGAAAAGGGAAACAGAAAACACAGGTTCAGTTGCCATCAAGACGATAGCGCATGCGACGAGAGAGACCTACAGGTGACGGCCCATTGCGGTTCAGGCGCCGGGTCATACCCGAGCACTTGCCAGTGCGACGTGGCGATCATGAGCCAGCCTTTTCCACGCCAATCGAAAGCGGCTCCGTGAGATGTCGAGCTGCGAGCGACAGAAATCACTCAGTAGGTCGATCCAAGGTAATGATGAGACGCATACGTGACGCACGACGTGTTCAAAGTATCCACGCCGAGAACTACATGGGAGTGTTGCTTTCGCCGTCAGCTTCGAGAATGGAGTACATAATCGACATGACGTTCAACTTCACCCGTTGATGGAGCCGAATCGCTCGAAGCGCTCTGTTTACGGTATTCGACGAGATCGTCGAATTTCCTCTTCTCGCCATCGGATGGGAGCGATTTGTAGGTGATGGTGACATCTAGAATGGTTTCAATAATAATAATGTTCAAAGAATTGGAGGTCAGAGCTAGATTCCGCCCAGCCACGCAGCATTCGACATGGGAAATACCTTTCTTGTCCTGGAAACGTACCTCGATTCAGTGAAGATCGCATCAAAATTCTCGCAGACAAGACACTCACATTCCAAAGCGGCAAGGTCGACCAGACGACATGCCACTTGCCCATGAAAGCATCGTACGGAAACACCTCCCCTGATAAGGAAGGTACGTCGGTCGAGTCCGGGGGGTATAGCTGGATACCTGTAGCTTGCATGTTGCGGGCGAGTGTGTGGGCGAGAGCGAGCGTAGATGACTGCTAGATGTTAGATGGTAGTGAGCTAGAGATCAAGAACCTCTCTATTTGATCATCTGATCAGAGATCGAAGGAAGTCCGTGATCTGGAAGGTTCCCCCTCTACATCAGAGGTCTGGGGTCCCCGCGTCCTCGATCATCCTCATCGCTCTCGGCCGGCGGCGACGGCGAGGAGGATGATGGAATTGGATGATCAAGCAACCAGCCTCCAAGTCGCTCTGGTCCTTGACATCGCCCATCTTGCCATCTCATTATCATCTACTCCCTACAGCTTCCAGCATATTCCATCCGGCCAACCGCAAGGCTATCTCCCGTCATCGACCACGGCACGATCGCGAGTCGACGCCGGCTGGACGCCGTACCGACCGTTCCCAAGCTGTCACCGCCGTGATTCGCAGTACGTTTGAGAAGGTTCATCGGAATTATCGTTAGCACTCACCGGGTATCTGCAGCGTTCTTCGAGGACGACTGCAAAGTCCTATCATGGATGGTAGTAACGAACCGCTATTGGGTCGATCGGGCGAGCAAGAACAGAATGGAGACGCTCGGCACCCTTCCGAGCAAGGTCAAGGAAGATCGATCGACCTTCCGCCATTACAACCTACAACTGGTTTCTCCCGGAACTCATCCGTTCCACCTCGAGATAGTTCCCGAATGAAGAACACGGCACCGAATTCGGAAGAAGATCAGGATAGAGCTGTTGGCGAGAGAGGTGAGCTACTCTTGATCGTCTGATACCGACGGACAATTAGACATTCCGCAGTATGGTACTGAAAGGAGAACGTATCCCACCTTTATTCTTTCTACCTCCACGATCTTCGTAGCCGCCAATCCTTATTCTTCGAACACGGCGGCGGGCGGGAGTGGGAACGCTACGATGGGACTACCTATACGTGAGTCGATGTGGATCGATAGAAGACGGAGCGGAAGGCTGATCGTATTGACGGTTTGATTCCTCGGTCTCCATTCGCAGTTTCTGGACCGCCTCCTTTCGTTGAGTCAGATGGTCAGTCTTACCATCTCGAACCACATCTCTCATCTGTTCCTTGTTGATATGATTCCGGGACACCTCATAGAATGCCGAACATGCGGCAAACAATTCATCCCGCTCTTTCGTAAACCACACCCATGTTCCCACTGCGGTTACTCTTACTGCTCGGACCACTGTTCGGACCACTCGGCCTTGATGCCACGTCGAGGGATCGCGGCGAGACAGGCTCCGGGGTCCAACTCGGTCGGAGTGGGACCGCGGGGTGGAGGGTATGAAATGGTAGAGGTCTGCGGGTTTTGTTTCCCGATGTTACAAGGTGAGCTCAGCAAGTCGGCGGCGAATAGGTAAGCAAGACCACACCGATTTGACACGTGTGACCTCGACACCGAAAACTCGAATCGTAGTCGCCTCTGCGAACGCGGCCTACCTTCGGTCACTACCCCTCAAGAGGCTTCAAGGGTTTATCAAGGCTTACAACCTTAACCCCGCTGCCGTGTCGGCCATCGAGAAGGAAGATTTCGTACAGTTGATCCTGAAGGCAAAGGATCCGAGGTCGGGATGTATGCCAGTGGCAGCCGAGGTGAGTTCGGTCTCGCGTTTGACCAAGATGTTACGGAACATGGGAGTCGCTAAATGACATTTCGGTGTCAGAGCTTCTTCCGGAGACGGTCGGTCCCCAAGCAAGGCATTTTGCCACCCCCGCCATCGACAAATAATGCTCGACCGAATCCGTCCGTCCGTGCCACACCGAGACCTTCAGCAGGGACAGGAACGAGACCTGCAGCATCGAGTTCCGGTCAGGCTCCCCGACCACCGCAACAGCAGACTTATCGACCGCCTCCCCAGCATCCTCCTACGAATGGCTACCAACCTAGGCCTACATATGCTGCTCCACGCCCCCCTCAACCTGCGCCGCGTCCCGCCGCGACACAACCCAAACCCGTACCCGCACCCAAACGCATGCCTTCCCCACCGGTACCAACGCTGTCATCGCTAGTACCCCTCCCGCTGTCATACATCTCAAGTCTGTCTATCGGTACCCTCAAGGCCATCTTGTACGATAACCACGTCAAGGTGGATTTTGCGCAAGTGCTGGAAAAGGGGGAATTGATCGCTAGAGTTCAGGAGTTGATCAAGATGGAGAGAAAACGTTTGGAGAGGCTCGCCAAGGAGGAAGAAGCGGAAGCGGCCGCGCAGGCAGCATTGGAAAGGGGTACAGATCCGGAAGACTTGGAGCGTGATGTCTCGCCAGAAGATGATCACACTGTCGGCAGCCTACCCCGAGCGTCAGTCGACATGAAGCGGACCCCGCCTGAAGGTCCGCCCCCGGCCGTGGAGAGGGACGGACTATGCGTTGTCTGTCAAGACCAGGATGCCGAGTTGGCCGTAGTGGACTGTGGGCACTTGAGCATGTGTCAGGATTGTTCCAAGTTGGTCATGAGTACTTCGAAAGAATGTCCTTTGTGCCGAACGAGGTGAGTGGCGCTTGGGTGGTGTATCTCGATGTCCTCGCGGCCACGCTCATAAAGTAATTGTGGTTTGCAGGATCATCACGGCAGCGCGTCTGATCCGAATTTTCCGGACGTGAATGGCCTCGCCGTTCACGTTATATGTCACTGCATTGTCGATTCGTAGTTGTATAGACCTATACCTTCTTGCCCCTTATGCCATCATTTATTTTACCTACACGAACGCGACCTTTCGAATCATACCGTAGAGACCGGTTGCATTGACGCTGGTCTCGATGATACGACGTGGAAGGCTATATAACAAAATAGACAAGGTACATGGGACTTGCAAGTTGCCTGACATCTGCTTTTTGGTTGATAGCCGGGAGTGTTGCAGTAGGGTAGGTGCGACGTGGGCAGAAATCTTTTCCGTTACCAATCTGGCCAGTCTGTGCCGTTTTTGTAGCACGAAGCTCGATCCGATCCGAAACTCATGTCACAACACTGCGGCAAAGATCCCGAGGATACCCAAAACAGGAGATGAGCTCAGGTTTCCCCATCACCTATCCAGAACAGAAGGCGTCAGGGCCTTGAAGGAACGCCTATGGTGGCTTGCGAACTGCTTGACAAAAGCACGGCTATGTCCCCGTACAAAAAGGCGTATGGTCCAGGTGGCGGTTAGTAACGATATCTGTCAGGATCCGCATATCATCGTAAAGCGTATACTCGGCCATACATCGTAAGGTATTGAAGTGTTTTTGGTCTCGTAAAGCGGTCATTGTTCGTAAGGGTTCCATATAACATTCTATTCTGCGGCTTTGTTTGCTGCCTGACGGCATGGTGCAAGGGTTGATGAAGGCCATGCCTTGTTTCTATTTTTTCGGCTTCGTCGCCTTCTTCTTCCTCTGTTTCTTGGGCTGCGCAATAGGTTCGTTCGAAGGTGTCGTATCCTCCGGAAGAGTACGTTTAGCTCGGGTGCGAGTTGTGATAGGGGAGTTCTTTGTCACCGGGTTTGACGTGGGCGTCAGCGCGAGCTGATCGCACGTAGTTGGAGTGGGGGAAGATACTAGCTCTGGAGTGGTTTGAACAACGTTCCGCGACGATTTGTCGATTCCCCTGGGGGACTGTCTACCGGTACCAGGAGGCTTGGTTGTGCGCCTGTTACCGATGCGAGCAGGCCGACCGGTTTTGACAGTCGTAATCAAGAACTTGCTGCTCGAGGGTGTCGACGTACTGGAAAAGACTTGTCGGCTCGGATCTGTTCCGGCTGGCGGCTCTTGCTGATCCTCGCAGATGGCGCCATCGAAAGCTGAGTCAGTGAGGGCAGAGTCACCGTTCGCAGAAGGCCCACATTCTTCTTCTGCCACCGCGGGACGAGGTCAGCGCCATCTCAGATACGACGACTAGCAGAATCGGAATTACCTTGAAGAACTTTGTTCTTGCGCTGCAACTCTTTTGACTTGGCATCACGTCGTTTCCCTTTCTGCTAGAGATAGCGTTTCAGCCATGAACATTCTTTACATGGCCAGCATCATCCCTCAGAAGCTTACCAACTGAGAGGCCACGCTGCAAAGGTTGCACAAGACCTCATCGGCTGGACCCTTGCCCCACAGGGCCGTGGTGGTCGTCTTGCAATTCTCGCACTCAAGGACTTTGCCGGGAATGACTTCGCTGTTGGAAGTGTTGTTTTGGGCAACGGATCCACTGGGCTTGTTGTGGTTGACAGCAACGGCAGGAGAGCTGTCTGGGATGTTGGACGCCTTGTCTTCCGGTTGCCCAGACTGCAGAGCGTTCGGCATTGCCTTGCATGACTCGTGATAAGCGGCGACATCGGCGTTGCTAGCATCCCAGGCAGCGGGTACAGGACAGAAGGAAGCGTCGTCAATAGCGTCTGCGCCTCTGTACAGCATCATAGGCGTTCCGACGTTCATTGGCAATAGGGACGCATTGAGTTTCGGCAGCACGATGTCCTTGTTGTCATCTGTCTCCTCCATCTCACGGGTATCCAAGAGCCCGCTGCTGTATACATCGAAGTCGGCGTCCAATGGGCCAGCCTGGGCAACTAGCGCATCGGTATTCCCCACATCCCAAGGTGTCGAACAGGACCAAGAAGTTTCGACCGACGACCCATCTGTCAAGGTCGGCACGTGTTCCGAGTATTGCGAAGTCGAAGGCGCGTAAACCCCATAGTCGATCTGTCCGGCCCAGTCACCTATTTCCGTGCTACCGGCTGAGATAGAAGGTGGTCTGTTCACGACGTCAGGGATAGAACTGCTGAAAGTCGGGTCACTATTCGCAAGGTTGGGTGTAGAGACCGAACTGCCCGCAAGTGCGGTCTGCATCGTACCGCTGCGTTGGTGAATGTATGCTGCGGAAAGATCTGTACAGCATAGACAGGCCAAAAGACGAGTATGAAGACGCTGTTTTCCAGCTCAAAGCCGATCCTCGAGTGGACTCACCCGCGAACGAAACCTTCTCGCCCTTGCCCTTGCTCGTCTTGATCATATCCAGCTGGTAGATCATGGCCGGGTCGTCCCACTTCTGGCTCAAGATCGACGCGTTCGGGTTCTGGTTCCAGCCGGACAATGCGCTCGTACCAGAGCAGCTGGCCGCAGGGGTTGCCATGGCAGACTGACCCGAGTTGCAGCCCGGCGTAGATGCGCTCGTCGAGGGCATCAGCTTGCCTGTATCCTTGCCTGTATCGAGGCTGGACAATTGACGTTGCCAATCGTGCGGTTGATCTTGAAAGAGATCATCAAGTTGATAATACGGGACGGGCGTCGATAACCCGTCCTCTCCGGGCCAACCGATGTCGGCTTTGAGAGACATCGAGCTCACTGAACGATTCGCTCTCGATCGTCCCTTGTCCCGCGGCGGCTCGTTTCGCTGCAAGCTGCTCTGTTTCACGACCATCGCCTCATTCCCACTACCCAACAGAAATGTCTCGTCTACCCCGCTCGAAGCGTCCTTTATGCTGCGAACCTGGTCCAAACTCTGGGAATCGGAACCGTTCGACTTCCAACTCTTCACTCCATATAGCCCGTGTGGGAACGGATCCAAGCACTTCTCCGCTTGAGAAGCAGCATCAACAATGCCGTTGACCTCTGCGCTCGGGATTGTATTCGAATCTGTACCTGGGCCAGAGCCGGTAACGAGCTCCAAACCCTGTCCTATTCCCATATTCACGCCCGAGGCCATCCGCGAGGCCGTAATCTGCGTCGATCCGACAGACGGGATTGACTGCAATTGCGATTGCGCTGAACCACCTTGGAACCTCGACTCCATCTCAATCATACTAGGCATGGCGACAGTAGCAGAGGTAGAAGCGCCCATGTCGTTCCATCCGACCAGGTTGGATTGAGTGTTCGAGAGCCTCGGCGTTGTCATTTGCGTTCGTGTTTGCATCTGCAATTGCGGTTGCACCTGCCCATGGCCAGGACTCAATGCGGACGCATGACTGAGATGGACCGAAGGGTGCGGGGCGGTCGTCATCAACCCCATCACCGCCGGCGCTCCAGCCTGCTCAGACAAGCACGTGCAGGTAGAGGCATCGACCTGGTTCGATCCAGTTCCCTCGCGACATCTGCAGAAGATGATGGAAGGGGTTTGAGTGGATAGAGGTTGCGACGAGAGGAGATTCGAGTATCCTGGAAGGGTCGAGGTCGAGATCTGAGCGAGGAGGTCGAGAGCCGGTGCTGGGGTGGAAGTTCGAGTTCCGGCTCTCGTCGCATTCGGATGTGCAAAGCTGTAGGTAGAGGTATCACCGGGGAATGCGTAAAACCCCGGTGCAGCGTCGGAGCCGGCCTTCCTACGGGCAGAACCTTGTCGATTCTCAACCTGCATCCCGGCCTGTACTCCAGCTTCGGTGATGGCATAGGCGGCAACATTGTCATTGCCATTGCCGTTCTCGCCGCTATGATTCCATCGTCCGTCCTCTCTCAAGCCGTCACCCGACTCGCTGCTTCCCGTACCACCAGCAGCAGCAGCAGTTTGACGTGTCCAAGGCGGCGGGGAGGGCAAGTTCCTAGCCCATTCCGCAAAGTTCGTCGCAACCGACAAAGCCTGGGAAGGGGCTTGATGAGGCATGAGGACAGGCTGAGGTTGTGGTCTTGAATGAGCCAGTTGTGGATATGCTTGCGTCTTCATCTTTGGCCTGGCATGCCTTTGGTACATCTCCATGTCCACGTTCTGGTCTGCGTTAGAGTTCGAAGCCGGGGTCGGATCCGGATTGAAGATCGATCCTGGAGTTCGAGAAGCGTATACAGCCGGGTGGTCTCCGTAGTACCCTATCGAGAACCTGGATTTCGCTCCATCCTCCCTGCTTCCTACTCCTGCCCCTACCACCTCCATCCTTTCCAGCACGTAGCGGGACGTATCTTGATAGATCTCGGGTCGCTTCATGGCTTGCACATGCACTCGTGTCGAATGTACATGCTGTCGCTGATGCTGTGGATACTGTTGGTGATGTTGGTACTGGAGTGGAAGGTGACCGAGGATGCTCGCGAACGGGGCCGTCGAAAAGGGTTCTTGAGAAGTAGGAAACGAGTACGAAGAAGGGTTGGGAGGTCCCGGGTAGGGTGGTTGGTCCATGGTCGGTGACTTGCTACGTAGAAGTAGACCTCAAGAGGTCCTTTTACTGTTCGTGAGATTTGTCGATTATGACATGACTCTGCGAGTTTCAAAGTCGAGGTGTTCGTCCTTTATCTCGAGGTCGACCTGACCTTGTTGCGATAAGAAAGGGCGAGCGACCCAAGGGATGACGAGCTGACGAGAGACTGTTCGAGAAAAGAAAGAGCGAGGGAAAAAAACATTTTTCCTCTTCCTCTTCCCTGCGTCCCTGCTCCCTCGTGATCGGCGGTGGGTCCTTTGATCTTCCAACCTCCATGTTCCGTTCGCCCACACGCCCTGGATTGACGTCCAGCAAGTTCCAATAGTCGGTACCCGTTGGTTCTGGGATGAATCGCTACCATTCTGCTAGCTCGCCTTGTGCTGGTGATCTGGTGACGTGTCGAGGTAAATTAGATACGTGGAACTTCTATCGTTGATCGTTGATCGTTGACAGATACCGTCGTGTTCGTGGGCGATTTGATCAGATTTGATGAATTTGATGAGGATTGATGAATCAACGCCGAAGAGATTGATCGAGGCAGGAAGCAGGCGACGTCCGATTTGATTCCGAGCGACCATGATCCCGGATGAAATCTTAAGAACTGATCGGGACGCGGTCGGAATCTTACGGGCGCGGTCGAAAGTGGGGCAGGGTGGAAATAACTGAGAAATATCACGTGAGAAATATTCCTGAGGAAGAATCACGTGAGCCAAACGGCCACCGACGCGACATCATCAACACACCTCAGGCAACTATCGTGTAATAGTCTCTTAGCAATATTCCTGTCGAACAAATTCAATCATGGAGACTCTGTCGCGAGACCTTGCACGATTTCTTTCCTCAGATAATTATGATTCATCTGATGAAGAGGAGAAAGACTCTGAGATAGTCACCCATAGCCCCCCTCCTCCCGCCGAGCTATGCCCGTGGAAAACCTTAGAACGATGGGCTCGGGAAATCGACGCGACCGAAATATTGCGGAGGATTCAAAGCGTCGCTCTGCAACAAGGTTTCGCTGTCCGCAAGGAACAAGGCAAGCCCAACAACTTCTCAGTTGTTTGTACTCGCAGTGGAAAGCACAGGAACACACACGAGTACCTCAACGCGAGCGGTCGAATGCGAGGGAAAGGTGAAAACGGTTTCACCAAGAAGACGGGCTGCCTTTGGAAACTTTACGTCAGCAAAACTCCGACCGTCAACGATCTCTGGAAAATTTCCATCAGAAATCTTGAGCACAATCACGACATTGACACCTCCCCCTTTGCCTTCGCTCAGCACCGAAAATTAACGCCCAGAGAGAAAGCCTCGGCGCTGACAGCTCTGGGGAATAATGCGTCGCCGAGTGCTGTTCTGGAAACTCTCCACAGAACTGCAGCGGACGAAAACAGGCCTTGTTTTGTGTCACTGCAGGAAATTTACAATCTAAAAGCAGCCCAGAGAAAACTAGCGATGAGCGGTCGAACTCCTGCCGACGCGGTCGTGAGAGAAATGATCCGCAGGGGAATTCCCCACGCGGTCTTTCTGAACGACCTTGATGAACTGCAAGGGTTATTCTTCACCAACCCTCTCGCAATAATTCTCACGAAATATTACGGCTATGTCCTTCATATGGACGCGACCTACAAGACGAATAAATACGGCATGCCCCTACTACATATCGTAGGAAGTTCTCCGACGAATAAATCCTTTACGGTCGCTCTCTGCTTCATGACGACAGAGTCGGAGGAGGAATATTTCTGGGCGATGAATTGTTTGAAGGATTTCTGTGAGGATCTTCCCACCGAAATTGTCCTCACGGATCAATGTGCCGCCTTGAGGAATGCTATCAGTCGAGTGTTCCCTCGATGGCGACAGCAGTTATGTCGGTGGCACCTCGCTCAAAACCTCGTGAAGAATTTCAGGGCAAAGATGCCAAAGGAGATTTTCGAGGAGTTGAAGGCGTCGTACGATTTCCTGGTGTTGCGGCCCACGAAATCCTCCTATGACGAGGCCTATGAACAGCTCAGCCTCAAATATTTGGCGAAGAAAGAGACCAAGCTCTGTTGGCTGTACGTACAGGAACAGATGCAGCAAGGGGAATTTTTCTTAGCCCACGCGTTATCCCGGACGCGAAATTTCGGGGAGACAGCCACCTCGCGCATTGAATCCTTTCATCGGGCGCTGAAGAACACTGTCAAAGGTGCGCAGGCGGATCTTTTCTCCGCAGTAAATGCTGCGACCAAACACATGCGGGCGACACATCGCGTGTTGTTCAAACAACATTCAATCGATTCTATCAAAATCGAGAACGATTTCCCCCTGTCGATGGTTGAAGTGAGTTCATAATACCCTGGTCTGTAGCAGTCGGAATGTTTACTGAGCTATATTTCTGTTGGAATTTAGCTGAGGGGGCGTATTGCCCTACGAGCTCAGTGGAAAATATTCGAGGGAGCATATCGTCTATGGCAAAGCGCTGACTTTCGACGTCAACCTCTGCCTGCTTGCAAGGGAAGCATGCGAGCGACTATGGGGTTTGTTTGCCAGCATGATTTCGAGAGGACTTTATCTCCCGGAGAGATTCGACCATTGATCGACCCTGGAGAAATCCACGCGTTTTGGCACCTCAAACAACAACGTCAGTTGCAAGACGAGGCAAAAGTCCTGGCGCTAAAATTCGTGATCAAGGATGTCACGGAGGGAACCTTCTATACCCACTATGTGGAAGATCCCCTGGTCGAAATTGCTGTCACAGCAATGGCCAACACATCTCTCGTGCCCGTGAATGAATATCTCGGGCAAGATGCTCAGGAAATTCTCCGAGAGATGTCTCCCGATGCTGTGATTATTCAGGAGCCTGTCCACCGCCCGCATTATAACAGACGACATGCCAAGAAGAGGAAGAGAACTCATACCGATATCCGCAGAGGACTAGCTCCAGGGGAAGAAATCGTCAGAAGTTCCGCGAGATCAGGTCGCTGGCATACTGGCGCGGAGCTGGCAACTCAACGCGCGTTGGCTAAGGAAAAAGCCGAGAGGAAAAAGGCGACCGAACCCAGACACTGCAAACATTGTGGCGACACTGGTCATGACAGGAGAACTTGTGAATTGTTGAAGACTTCACAAGCTGCCGACAGAATCAAAGCTACACAAGCTCGTGTGGCCACGCCTCCCGTGAGCAATATTCCTGCGGCGACTGTCTTCAGGAATGTTCCGCGTGAAATGTTTCCGCAACCACTCTTCCACGCGTCATCTCAACCGCAACAAATGCTTGGAGTTTCACCTTACTTTGGGCAATCGGTCGCTCAGTTTCCTCAGCAATTTCCCCATCAACCGCAAGCTGGACCATCTACCGCTCCTATCGCACCTTCCTCGCAGTCTCGGGGGTATTATTACTAGAACAATGGCGTCAAAGGACCCCTCGCGTAGGCGAGTAAAGGTTCTTTACGTGCTGCGAAATTCCTATTGTTATTCTGCTCTCGTGACTATTCTATCGCTGATCCTTCTCGCTTAAATTCGACGAGCTGTTTGACATCGTTCTTGTTCTGGCGTAAGCAGGAGGGGGTTTGTTTCCGCTGTAACTCGGCTGACCAATTTGTTCTATACAGATCGTCGATCAGGAACGTTTCATGTGAACCTACGCGAAACGTATTGTTCTAAGTAACAAATCGAGCTTCTCAAACGTCTCGATTTGGCAATTGGGGGATTTCGGCCCCGAAATCATCCTGTCGACTCGCTACTCATGACATCATGAGTAGCGAAATGATACAGTCGTCATTGTTCACTCGTTCTCTTTGTTCTTGTCGACTCGACTCGATTTGCCACTCTCGCTAAGAACCTGAACCCATATATATATCCCCCCCTCCCCCCCTCGATTTTGCGATTTCCCCTACTTTCAAACTTACTCTCTTCTACTACAATACACACGCTTAGACCTACTGTAAGGCCCGGGAGCGGCCCCCGGCGGGGGTCCCCCTGGACAGGCTGACGGGACGCAGGAATGAGGCAAGGTACGGGTAGGCATCTAAATGTAATAACGGATGTAGAGCTATTACAGAGGTACTAGTTCTACATCAACATAACAATACCGAAAAGTACCCCCGACGGGAGTCGCATACGGGAGTCGCGTACGGCGCGTCCGACGCGTCACGTGACCGCTATAACAGGATCCCCCTCCTAGATGCGGACTCCGAACGCATCAAGCGTCGGCGTACTCTTGTCGACCGGGCTGCGGTAGATGGGGGTAGCGCTTGTGGAACGCCGTGACGACCTTGTCGTCGTGATCGAACTCGGCGGGGCTGACCCACTCGTTCGACTCGTCCCCGTACCCTTCGAATCGCACCAGGTATTGGGTCTTCTTCCCGGACCTTCCGGATCGTAACGCCTTCGAGTGTACGATCTCGGACACAACATACCCCAAGTCGCCGTTGTCGAGGACTTCGGGGGTAGGTGGCTCAACCACCTCTCTTCCTTCCAGCTCGTTGGCCCGATAGGGGATAAGCAACGACACGTGGAAAACGGGATGTACCCGGCGTAGTTGCGCGGGGAGTTCCAGCCTCCTCGCCATCTTGCTCTGGCCGACGATCTCCGTGATCGGGAAGGGCCCCAGCGTCTTCATCGAGAGCTTCTGGCTGGGACGCACCGATGTCAAGTTCTTGGTGGATAACATCACCAAGTCTCCTACGTTGTAGCCCTCGTCAGGGACGGCGGTACGCTTCCGATTTGCGTACTTCGCCATGTCTTGTCGCGCTTGCTCCAGCGCCTCCTTCACCGACTTGTAGATCCCATCGAGTCGGTCTCGGTACTCTCCCGCCGACTCGACCGCCTCCTCCCTAGTGCCGGGCACCGGTAGGGAGAAGGTATGTTCCCTTCCTTCGGACGCCATGAATGGCGACATCCCGATGGCAGAGTGCTTCGCGTTGTTGTACGCAAACTCCGCCATGGAGAGTAACTCCACCCAGTCGTCCTGGAGGAAGTTGACGTACGACCGCAAGTATTGCTCCAAGGTGGAGTTACTTCGCTCGGTCTGCCCGTCCGTCTCCGGATGGAACGCCGTGGAGTAGCTGTTCTCCACGTTCGCCATGCGGCACAGATCTTTCCAGAAGCGCGAGGTAAACAACGTACCTCGATCTGAAATGATCTGCTTCGGGAACCCATGCAAACACACCCATCGGTCGAGGAACAGCCGCGCCAAGAACGTGGCGTCGTTATCCTTTCGACAAGCGATAAAGTGCGCCCGCTTGCTGAATCGGTCGACGATCACCAGGATCGAGTTGGACCCCATCGACTCGGGCAGGTCCGTGATGTGATCCCAAGTGATCGACTCGTAGGGCTCTGCTGGTACCGGTAGCGGCGCTAGCTCGCCGACAGGCTTCATTCGGGGTCGCCGGTTGCGCTGGCATATGCTGCAGCTAGCAACGTACTCCCCGATCCACTTCGCCATCCCAGGCCAGTAGAAGTCCCTACTGGTCAGCTCCACGGTTTTGTCCCGC